GGCCCTCCTGCACGAGCTTGTGTGAAGAGGTTTCCTGTGCGCGGGATAGTGCCGACGGCTTCGACCTGCGGAGGAACCTCCGCTCCTGCTGCAAGGTCGGGGTGGCGCGCCCCTCGGACTCAAACGCACACACAGTGGCCCTCGCAATGCGAAGCCTGACCAACGCCAGCACAGCATTCACCCATTTGAGACAGTCAAGCTCGTTCTTCGCGATGGCGTGTGCCTCGGCGGCTCTTCCCTCCACTTTATCTGCAATCCGATTCCCTACCCAGGCCAAGACTGGGACCCCGCGGGCGCTGGCCTCCTGGAGTGCTAGGTGGCTGTTGAGGAACTTAACAGCAACCACCTCGGAGCCTCTCGAGCGCCACTCGGAGCCTAGGGAATCCCAAAGGTCTCCGTTCACTGACCAGCTGGCTGGCTTGAGGTGTGTCCCCCTATTCCAGCCCGTCAAAATAATGTCACTGTCCGTCCAATACTCTACTTCTCTGCTGGTGTGCTGGAGGACGGAGAGGAGACTCGTCATCTCAGCACGGTTGTTCGTCTGCCTGTGTCCTGCGAGGGGGCCAAACGCTTCCCCCATTCAGGGCTGGGCTCCCTGGCGGGCCCTCCAGCAGGCAACGTCCCCAGCCGCAGCGGCGGTACCTCGGGTCGGAGGCCTCCTCGCCTCCGCTGCCATCGTCGCAGGCGAAGTGGCGCCTCGCCTCGGGCGCCAAGCGAGCCCCGTGAGCCACCGCCCCCAGCAGCCTCGGCTCGTGCCGCGCGGCGCAGGGCGGCGGCGCCGTCCATCTGCGCGGCGCCAGGCCGCGGAGCCAGAAGACGGGGCAGTCCTGGCGGCCTCTCCCCGCGCGCTCGCATAGGCTCGCCGTCCTGTCGAAGTCCTCGTGCTGCGGGCGGCAGGGGCGCTGGCCCCAGATGCGGTGGAAGTCATCAGCGATCTGCCCGCAAGCGCAGCGGCCCTCGCCAGCCCGCTCGGCGCCCAGGACCTCGCAGCACCTCGCAGGCGTCCAGGTGCTGGCCGTCATGGCCTGCAGCAGCGCGTTGGCCTCCGCGGGCCTAGACTTGCGCCACTTGCGCAGCGTGAGCTTGGCGTCCGTCGGGTCCAAGCCCTGCTTCATGCCCTTGGCCAGGTGGCCGCCTGCCGCCTTCCTCCAGAGCCGATCCTGGATGTCGGCCAGCACGGCATCGATGACGTCTGCGGGGTCTCGATGCTCCTCGCCCTCCGCCAGCTCCCAGTAGCCGCCTCGAAGGTCGCGCCAGGAACCTGGCATGAGGGGCATCCAGCCAGCGTCCAGCAGCGTCAGCATGAGCGAGCCCATGACACCTCGGCGGCGCCTCCAGCGGTGCTGCGAGGGCCGCTTCAGTTTCTGCGCCGGGATCAGCGGCCATGCTCGAGTCGCCATCTGGCGAACGTCGGGTCGATGCGCGAACAAGTCGACCCGGGCCCTCAACTGCGCCCGCGGTATCTCCAGGGCGGTCCTTCGCCTCCAGCGCCAGGAATGTGGTCGTGCAGCGGCCCGCGCGCGGCTTCGCCAGCGCCGAAGCGCATCCGCGGCGCGCCTCCGTGACCACCGCGGGCGGCTCGCCGTGGGCCCTGGCGCCATACAGCAGCGAGGCCATCGCCCCCTGGTTCAGCATGGCGACCTTCTTCTCACGTCGCAACGACCTCAGCTTCCTGCCCAGGGGCCGCATGCGCAGGTACGCCTGCCGTCGCCGCGCCGTGTGCGAGCCTCGCCTGCGGGTGCCCGCGGCGGCTCGGTCCACGCCCAGGTCTCGGCCCTCCTCGACCGCCTGGAAGTGGACATTCTTCTTCCTGAGACTGCTCACAGTGCGCCGAGTCATGCCAGCGCTCGGCGTGAAAATCATACTCTCGTCTGCGGGCTCGAGTCCCTCCTCGCGGAGCGAATCCCGCAGCGACACCATAGCACTGGGCAGTATCTCCTCCACCGCCTGCGGGCTGCCGATGACTGAGGTGGTGCTCGCGTCGTCGAACCACGCCCTGGGCTGGCAGCGCACGGGCTGCCGCGTCACCCGCTCCAGCGCGCGGTAGACCACCGCCCGCGCGAGGTTGTTGACGTGCCTGGAGCCTGCCAGCATCGAGACGTCCGCCTGGCAGGCCTGCGCGTAGGCACCGTCCTGGCGCACGAAGCGGCAGACCGCGTGCAGCTGTAGCTCCAGCGCCAACGACCTGACTGGGAACCCCAGCCCCATGCTCTCCGAGGCCACGGTCTCCACGCGGAGTGAGCCGTAGAACTCCGCAGTGCGACAGGGGCGGCGGTAGGCCCTGGGGCCACGCTGCACCAGGGTCGCCTCCGCGACGGCCGGCGCAGAGCCGCTGGCTCGCGGGGGCCCGCGGCGCAGGGCTCACGGCCACGATGAAGTGGCACCCTCCTGCCGCCCCCTCTTCTCGCCCTTGCCTCCCTGCAGCCGGTGTGGCGGGAGGCCCGCGGGCCGCGCCACAGTGGCGACCCGCGCGCTGGCCCGCGCCTCGACGCTGCCTCGCGGGCGCCTGCGCGGACGAGTCCCGCGCCGCGGGCTGCGCGCGCGTCGTGCACTTGCTCTGCGAGTGCAGCTTGACACGACGATCAAGATAGTGGAGGAGGGGAGGGTAATGAGGATGGACGCATGTGTATATATAGATATATATATATATATATATGTGTAGATATGCATATAAACATATCTAGTTAGATACGTATCTAAATAGACAGGAAATGAGGACGGCGGAAGGCAACATCCTCAGAGCCTCACGACGCCCTCGCGTGGCTCGTCGGCAAGTGCGCGCATCATCATCTTCTCCACGCGCCTCTTGTGCTTCTTGCGCTGCGTCTGGTACCGTCGCTGCCCCAGGCCGCGTGGGCTTGCCTGCTTTGGCGACCCCAGTGCAGACGGGCTGGAGCAAAGACGGGCGTCCAGAAAGGGCTGGAACAGACGTGGAGCGTGGAAACAGCTGTTGCCGCCATCGAGCCTCGACCTCGTCCACGACGTGCAGGAACGTCGCCTTGCACTCGACTGTGTAGCCGTGCCATGGCTGCCTTTCGTCCGAAGAGGCGGCGGAGGAACCGCACGAAACGCTTGACGCAGAGGGAGCCATAAGTGGAACATATCGACATGGCCCCGAGACGCTCCTAATCGAAGGCCGCTCGACATATATCAACACACAAAAAGTCCTCGAGCCAAAACAGCTTGAGCCAAGATGGCTACGGCCCTGTTGGAGGTCTTGGGAGCCTCTTTTGGGGACTCTTGGGGGCCTCTTGGGGCCTCTGGGGAAGCGCTTGCGGGCCTCTGGGGGCTTCCTGGGCGCCTCTTGGGGCCGAGAGTTTGAAGTGTCTGGTCGAGTTCCCCCCCTGGGCCCCCTCTTGGGACAATCCTGGGGCCGTCATGGAGACCTCGTGGGCTGTCTTAAGGGCCATCTTGGGCAAGTGGGAGCCCTCTTGGAAGTTTTTTGTTAAACTTTGGAGCGGTCTTTGGACCCTTTGGGGCGTCCAAGGAGGTCGGCAGCTCGAAAAGGCCGCACCGCCAAAGTCGTCCGAGAACCTATGCAAAAATCAACATGTTTGCGTTTGCGGGGCCTCTCAAAGCCCTTTTGGAACCCTCCTGGAGCATCTTGGGCGCTTGCTGGGCCGTCTTGGGACCACCGTGGGCCGCCATCTTGGCACGCGAGGCCGTGGGGGTGCCGCCCTTTTGGCGCCTCGGTGGGGCGCTCGGGGGGCGGGGGGGGTGCGAGGCCGCGCCCAAGAGATCCGGCACCTCTGACCCGTTTTTGCCGGGACCTTGCCAGGACCTTGCCAGGAGGGGTGCTTCCCGTCCGCCGACCCCCAAGGGCCGCCGCGTGCGCGCGAACTAGAAGCAGCGACTCCGAATTCTGAACTGAGACTTGACAGCTTCTCTGGCCCGTTGGGTTGGCGAACTCCTTCTCCTCCTCTTCTTCGCCCTCCTCCTCCTCCTCCTCCTCGTCCTCCCCCGCATCCTTCTCCATCCTTCTCCCTGTAGATAACCCCTCCCTGTCGCACCTCCAAGCATGTCGGTGGAGCGGGCCCAGCATGTCGCCTGAGACTCCCTCGCCTGAACCCACGCACGGAGAGTGTGGCTTTCCAAACCGTGGCTCCCGCCTCGGGACCGCATGCGCACTTGTTGTATGAATGTGCGCCAGGTTCACGGGCAGAGGGCGATCCGTTCTAAAACGATAGCTCTCGCGCGAGCGACGCGCACATTCGTCCTGGCAGCTTGCAGCAACTTCGCAAACGGAGGGCGAATCCCATACAAAATGTGGCTCTCGCATTAGCCCTGCGCACATTCAACTTCACCGTTCGCACGGCGTCAAGGATGGTGGACGGGCCCTTTTCAAAATGAGGTTCTCGCATTAGCACCGCGCACATTCGTCGTACAATATCGCAGCCGCTTCATGGATGGAGGGTGGGTCCTTTTTCAAAATGAGGCTCTGGCCTTAGCGCCGCGCACATCCGTCTTGAAAGTGCGAAGCCGATTCCAGGAGAGGGGGGGGGTCTTTTCAACCATGTGGTTCTCGCCTCCACGCCGCGGAAATTCGTCTCAAATGTTTACACGGTGACAAGGATACGCACGATTGGTGTCCCAAGATCGACTTTCTGGTGCGATGCAGGATTACCAAGACGCGAGAATATCATTGATTCGCGGTCTTAGCCCCAGGACAAGTGTTCTGGGCAGATTTAGTGTTGACAAGGCGCAGCGATCACGTGGACTCGCGGTTCTGACATGCGTGGAATGATGTGTTCTGTTCGAGCACGACGGATCCTTAGACGGTCGTCTTCCAACGAGGAACTTCCCGCACTGAAACTGCATTCTGATAGGGGCCTATGCAGCGGGAGCTTGGAGGTACGTTTTCTTGCAATACTGTTGATGCGTATTGAGTTTAGTATGGTCCTTTTCCTCCTCCACCTTAACGTTTCTTCCCCTCTCCCGCCCGTGACCCGACCACTTGGGCGCGAGGCCAGGAAAAACGCAACAAAGCGCGACAAGGGAGCCTGTCAGCAGGCGGCCGACGGGCGCACTCGGCTGCACCTGCGCGCGGCGCTGGGGCCGGCTCCTCCCTCCTCCCTCCTCCCCCCCCCCTTCCTCCTTCTCCATTTCCTGCCTCCTCCCTCCTCGCTGTCCTCCACCTGGCTCTCAAAGCGCGCGGACGTGGTGGCCTCCTGCCTCCTCCTCCGTCTCCATTTCCTGCCTCCTCCGCCCTCACTGTCCTCCACCTGGTTCTCGCCGCGCGATGACGTCGCGGCCCCGGCGGCTCTACGGGGGCGTCCCACGGCCCAGCTGTACCTAGCCTCCTCCTTTTTCCCCCTCCCCTTCCTCCTCCTCCATCCGTTCTCCAAATAAAAGAAAAGCTTCGTGTCGCACCCCGAGACGGGTCGGTAGGGCGTGCCGGGCGTTTCGCATGAGACTTCCTTCCTCACAACTTATGATCCTTTCGCATTCTCACGGGTGGAAGGCGGTTTCTTTCGAAAATAGAGCTGCGCGCATTCGTCTTAACAGTCTACAGCAGTTAGAGTGGCTCTTATGGCGGACGTTCCAGAATCTGCATTTTAGCGCAATGTCGGGTCATGGCGCGACAGATACGTTGATTGGCGGTGTTGACATATCGGAAAAGGCGTTCTGGCACAATTTAGGATCACTGCGTCGCAAAATTGACGTTCAACCGCGGCGATGAAATCCCAGGAAAGGTGCTTCAGCACGGTTGGCAATTTTCGAACAGTTGTATTCCAACACGGCCCTGCCAGCAATGAAGACAACCTTCATCACCACTTATGACCCTGAAACTGAAACTTTATGAGAGCTTCAGACGGAGGGGTGCCCGCTTACAAGTAGTTGTTATCGCATTATCGCCTGGGCGCCGCGACCATTCGATCCAATACTGAAAAAGCTTCAAAGGTGGAGGGCTAACCATTTTCGAAATGTCGCTCGCGCCTTTGCGCTCCGTAGATTCGGTTGCAGGATGTGAATGAGGGAAGGAGGCTCTTTTTCAACATGTGGTTCCGCCTTCAAGTCGCGCGCGCATCCGCGCAATAATTCACAGCATGTTCAAGCATGCTCATGGTTGCCGCGCCGGAAATGGTGCTCTGTCGCGATGTCGGACTGTCAGGGCCCAGCAGTGCAGTGGACACGAGATGATGAAGCCCCAGGAGGGAACTGGGAGAGATGGTTTATTGAAATATCTTTACTGAGTCTTGGGTTTTCACTGGTCCTCCTCCCCCTCCTCCTCCTCCTCCTCCTCCTCCTCGTCCTCCTCCTCCTCCTCCTCCTCGTCCTCCTCCACTCCTCCATCCCCTTTCCTGTTCGTCCTCGCCTGACCACGGCACGTGCCCGAAGGGCGGGCCAGGCGTTTGCCCTGAGGACTCCTCAGAAATTAGAACTCTGCGGCTTGGAATGGCGGGGCGTGAATGGATTCGGGCGTCTCCTTCTCCACCCCACTCCGTCTCCTTCGGGGAAGGGCTTGTCCCTCCCCTTATCCCCTGGCCCTGGACCCGGACAGGGAGGGGTGCGCGACCCATCCGAGCCTCCAAGGAGGCATCGGCGAGAAGGCAGAAGTCACTGATGTTACCAAGCTTTTGGGGGAAAGGGGTAAAGGGGGAAAGGGGGGAAAGGGGTAAGAACAAAAGGGGAAAGGGGGAAAGGGGTAAAGGAAAAGGGGTAAGAGCAAATTGAGGACCCCCCTTCTGCTATCGCGCTCCTCCAAGATGGCCCCACGGGCCCCAAGAGTGCCCTAAGAGGCGCCCAGGAGGTCCCGAATAAAGAGCAGGAAGTTCCCGAGAGGTCCCCAAGAGGCCCCCGATAAAGTCCCAAGAGGCCGCCCCAGAGGCACCCAAGACGCTCCGAAAGGCCTCCCAAAACCGACAAGAGGCCCCCAAAACGCCCCAAGAGGGCCCCAAAGAGCTCTCAAGAGACATCCGAAGAGGAGCCGAGAGGCATCTAACGGGCCTCTGGCCTTTCAGCTCTCCATCCTCGTCCTCCTCGTCCTCATCCTCTTCCTCCTCCTTCCTTATCCGCCGATTCCTCCTCCTCCTTCTCCTCCTCCTCCTCCTCCATCCTTCTTCCCTCCCTTCCTCCCTCCTCATAACCCCCCTGTCCTCCTCCGATTCCTCTATCCTCCCCCTTTTGAAGTTTGAGAGACTCCCCAACCCCTTTTTCCATTGCGTGATCTTCCGCATCCCTGATCAGGGCAACTCGCCTGGGCATCGTTTCTGGATGGGCTGGTGGGATTACGCGAAGCGTCTAGAATCTCCAACTGTTGCGGAAGGAGGGAGGCGGAGGAGGAGAAGGAGGAGGAGGGAGAGAGGGAGAGAGGGAGGGAGGGAGGGAGGGAGGGAGGACGGGAGGAGGAGAAGGTAGGAGGAGGATGCGTTATGGAAGGAGGGGGGCGGGAGGGAGGGATGGAGGGAGGAGGGGAGGGGGAAAGATGAGGGAGGGGTAAGAAGAGAGGGAGGGCAGTCAAGCTAGGTGCGCCCGCGCCATATCTGACGTCCTGCACCTCCCTCCCATACCTCACCATTGCGAACATACCCTCTCTATGCTCACAGTCAGATGTCGAAGACGACAACGATCACCAAAGGGCGCGCGATGCATAGCATTGCATAGCATTGCGTAATCACGCATTTCATATCATACCACAGCATCGAAGCGAAACTCATCGCATCGCCCAGCTGTGCGTAGCCCAGCATTGCATGGCATGCCATTGTATAGCATGGCTCTGTGTAGCTCAACGTCGCATATAACAACATTGCAGAGCAAAGCATGATACCGCATAGCTACGGCACATGATGCGAGGCGGGGACTTATCCAACCACGGCAGCATGAACGATTCAGCCGGAAACCCAAGGCCAGATGTCCAGCGGGAGCAAGATTCGGAGGGAGCGACAACGCGGACACGAGGACAGAGCTGCAACGGGAGCACCATTCGGAAGGACCGACAGCGCAGACATGAGTGCAGCGCTGCATCGAGAGCACCCTTCGATAAAGGAACGAAAGCGCAAGCAAAAGACGAACACTGCAACGGAACACAAGTCGGAAGGACCGCACACGCTGAAGTGGGGACAAAGTTGCACCGGGAATCCCATTCGGAAGGACCGAAAATGATTCGGCAAGAAAACCACATAAAACACAACGAACGCATAATCCTGGATGTGACTGCGCTACGCGGACAGGGCGGGACATTTGCTGGACAAATTCAGCGGAAAAGATGAGAGTACTATTGATCATGCGTCATGTCAGTGAAGACGAGGAGTGGAAGAGGGAAGGGCAGAGGGGAAGAGAAGAAGGAGGAGGAAATGGAAGAGGAGGAGGAGGTGGAAGGAGGAGGTGTATGATGGGAAGCATGGGGAGGGCGGCGGCTCGCCGTCGTCTTCCGAAGGGTAGGAGGAGGAGGAGGAGGAGGAGGAGGAGGAGGAGGAGGAGGAGGAGGTTACGACATTACGAGCCCATAAAACGTTAGCTCGTTGCCCGCGCGCGCTCGGATAATGGAGGAGGAGGAGGAGGAGGAGGAGGGAGGAGGGGAGGAGGGAGGAGGGGGAGAGGGGGAGGAGGCGGGGGAGGAGGGGGAGGAGGAGGAGGAGGAGGAGGAGGAGGAGGAGGAGGAGGAGGAGGAGGCTGACTGACTGACTGACATCGAACGGGTCCTCCCGAACGCTCGGCCCAACGGCCGCAAGGCCGACGCCTATAGGCGGGCGCCAGCAGAGGCCCCAAGAGGGCCAACCGCAAGACGCCAGGCCAACGAGGCCCAGTGCCAGAAAGACTCCACAACTGGCCATCGCTCGGACGTCCATTCCCCGTGTTTTTTGTTTCGGTTTCGTGCGTGGTTTTGTCGCCAAACGATCAAGGATGCTCCTCGATGGTCCTCGCCGAGGGAAAAATGCACACGTCCGAGCGATGCCAAGACAAGGTCCCCACCCCCAAACAGGCATGGGTGGACGACCCGGGGGAGAGAGCCCCGCCCCCGCCCCCACCACTCCTGAAAGTATATGAAGGGGCCCCAGGACACACAAATAAATACACACAAGTAAAAAGATTCCCCAATATCCTCCCATATGTTCGGGTTTTTTGTCTTCCCCCCCCGCTTCCCATAGTTTCCCATATCTCCTAGGGAATCGACGATGAATTGTGTCTGTGTGTTTTTTTTCACCTCCTGAAGCATAACCCGTCCTGCTCGCCGAGCGCGAAGACGTGTCCAGAACCCCCTCTCGTTTTGCCACGCCCCCAGGCGCCGGGAAGGCGACGACCGCCTCGGCCTGCTTCCTCAAAGAGTCCCCGGCCGCCTGACAGAAGAGCGCGATCAGCCGCCGCCGACTGCGGAGAAACCGATGGCGATAGCGATGTACTCAGGCTTTTCCTGCAGCCAGCGCGTGAAGGCGGTGCGATGGACACCTGCGGCCTCCACAACCTGGAGGGCTTCGCCGAACGTGTCCCTCACCAGCTGCACCACACCGGTCTCGCCATTATGAACGTCCTTGAGGCCGACACTCTCGGCATCTTTGTCCTCCAGCTGCTCGCCCTCATTACCTCGATGGTCCTGCCAGGGATTCGGCCCTGGCGCCTCCTGCCCACACTCCTCCCGCTGCCGGCACGCGTCGCCGCGTAAGACCCGCACCACCTCGTCCGACCGGAGCCTCCACGCGGCCTCCCGCTGGGCGTGGGCTGGCACCTGCTTCTCATACGCGCTGCGGTTGAGCTTGAAGGAGTCCTGCCGGAACCCCGACACATCCTGGGCGCAACGATCCCGCCAGAGCCTTATCCGCAAGCTCCTCCCCGCAGGGTTGCAGGATCGGCTTCACGAGCTGCTCCGAACAACCAACCTCGAGGTCCCCATGAGAAGGCTTCAGGGACGGCTGCACGATCTTCTCCTGCTCTGCATCCACAAGCTCGCCGGCGAGCATCGGGGGCGACTCCTTGAACTTCAGAGTGCCCCCATCCTCGAACTCATCCGCATGGGACCCGTCGAACTCACCCACGACGAGCTCCTGGAGCGGGTCGGTATCCTCATCGACGTCCGCGAGACACGCGAGGCTGCCGGCTTCGTTCCGCTGCAGTGCAGGGGTTCCGATGCACTTCAGCCCACCAGCCGCGGGGACCGAGAGCGGCTCCTCCTGCGCCTTCGATTCTCCTTCGCGCGGCCCGTGTCACTCTTATGTTTCTTCTCTTTCTTCTCCTTCTTGTCCGGCGTCCTGCTGCCGCCCGACGGGTTGGAGCCCTCCCACAGCATCGGCGGGTCCGACACCTTCGGGGCGGCGCACGGTGCCCGAAGCTCCTCCACCGCCGCCAGGTGTTCCGTGGTGGTCCTGGTCCACCTTCGAAGCCGCACGCAAACAGGAAGAGGAGACCAGCGCCCTGGTGGCGGTGCGGGTGGACCCACCTTGCTTGCCGTCTCCATCGCACCATCCTCGATCGCCAAAATCGGGGCCTGCGATGGGCGAACCTTGCTCGCCGCCTGCGACACTGGGCGTGGCTGGGGCCCGGCTGGCGCAACGGCCGCCACCGCAGCCGTCACCGCCGCCGCCACAGCCCTCTCCACGAGGTCCAGATCCACTCCGCGACTCGAGCGAGGTTGGCTGGGCCTCGCCGACCTCTGCCTCCACGAGGCAGCAAAAGCGTCGTTGCCGTCCCGTCATGCCATGCAACGTCGTCCGCTGGCTCCTGGGGGCTGCGCTCCTTTCAAGTGCGCTCCCAGAAGACCCCCGCTGAAGCCGAAAGGGGCTCAGGAGGAGGAGGAGGAGGAGGAGGAGGAGGAGGAGGAGGAGGAGGAGGGGGAGGGGGGAGGGCAAGCTAGGTGCGCTCGCGTCATATCTGACGTCCTACCCCTCCCTTCCATCCCTTACCATGGCGCTGATTTTCTCTATCCGCGGACGCGTGTCGTAGTGGACCTGTGGCTCCACGCGCGCGTGCGTAGTGGGTGGTGGTGCACGTGCGTGCGTGCGTGCGTGTGTGCGTGGTTGTCGTGGTGGTGGTGGTGGTGGTGGTGGTGGTGGTGGTGGTGGTGGTGGTGGTGGTGGTGGTGTGGTGGGTGGGTGGGTGGTGGTGGTGTGTGGGTGGTGGTGGTGGTGGTGGTGTGGTGGTGGTGGTGGTGGTGGTGGTGACGGCTGGTGGCGGTGCGTGGTGGCGGGCGGATGGGCGCGCGAGAAAAAGGCCCGCGCTGGGGCGAGAACGCCATCCTGAACGACGGAGGCCAAACACCGATCCGAAAATGAGGCCCACGCTGCAGCGGGAGCACGATTCGGAACGATTCGGGAGCAGAAATGAGGCCGGCGCCTCAACGAGAGCAGCATTTTGGGAAAAAATGACGCCGGCGCCTCAGCGAGAGTCGTTTCCCGGGATTTCCCGGGCATCCTGTGTGTAAAAAACAGTACGCGGAGGGTGCGCGGCCATCACCTGGACGCCATCAGGGGAAGAGGGAGAGTATTTTCATATTGAGTAATTGTGGAGGAGGAGGAGGAGGAGGAGGAGGAGGAGGAGGAGGAGGAGGAGGAGCAGAGCAGCAGGAGGCTGGAGCGGGGGGGGGTCTTGCAGCCCGCGTCTCCGGGGCGATCCCAGCGAGGAGCGGCGCGCCGCGGAGCCGCGGGCCAGACAGGGGGCGCGTCAGGCCCGCTTGCCCTGCGCCGCCATCTTGCGCCCTCGCTCCTCGGCCTTGTCCTCGTCCGTCGGGCCCTTCTTGCCCTTGCCCTTGCCCTTCTTGCCCTTGCCCTCGCCACGGGGGGGGGTGCTGGAGGAGAGGCCAGCCACGTGCTCCTCCTCTCATGTCTCCCCCCTCCCTCCCCTCCCTCCCTCCCCCATTTCCCGTCTCCTGCCTCCCCCCTCCCCTCCCACTTAAACCCCCTCCTCCTCGCTCCCGGGTGCTGCTGCTGCTCCCTGTCCCCCCCTCCTCCGCCTGCCTCCGCCTCCCGTGGCTCCTGCCCCCTGCCCTCTACCCCGCTTGTCCCACCCTTCGCCCTGTACTGCCTGCTCCCTCCTCCCCCCCCCCCCAAAGTTGCTCCCCCCCCCTCCAACCTCCCCCGCCGCTCCGACGACACGTCCCGAGGCCAGCGCAGCGCCAGCCGCTCCTCCCCCGGCTTGCACGGCGTCGACCCCCGGGCGCCCGCCTCCCCCTTCTGGCTCACGCTCCCCCGCCCTCCTCCCGCCCTCGCCCTCCCGGCTCCTCACCTGGCCCCGGCTCCCGCGTCTGCCTCTCCTGCTGCTCCTGGACGAGCCAGCAGAGCTGCCGATACGGCTACTCCCCAGACCTCTGTCGGGGTGCGCTCTGACCAGCATCTTTCTGCGAATCCAGCGGTGGCGACGAGGGCCTCCCAGGAGGCCCAAACAGGGACAAAAACATGGAACGGTAGCAGTGTGGGCATCTTTCCCCCCTCCAACTCCACGCCCTCCTTGTCCTCTCTGCTCGCTCCTTTTCCCAACTCTCCTCCTTCCGCCCCTAAATCAATCTCCACCTCCTCCCTCAACTCCTTCCTTCGCGTCTTCCCCTCTCCTGCTCAAACCACCTTCTGCAATCTTCAGTCCTCCCTCCTCCCTCCGCTCTGCTTCTCCCCGCTGTTTCAACGTGATACAATGATACCCCCCTCATCTTTCCCTCTTCCCTCCTTGCTTTTCACTGTTCCTCCTCTTCCTCCGATTCCTCCTCCTCCTCCTCCTCGCTCTTCCTCCCTCACAAAGCTTTCCTTCTTGCTGTCGTTTTCTCCCTCCGTATTCCCCGTCCCCCTTGCCCCCCTCGTCTGCCCCTATTATACCCCTCGTTCGTCCCCACTTCTCTCCTCGCTGTCGTCGTCCTCCTCGCCGTCCTCATCCTCCTCCTCCTCCTCCTCCTCCTCCTTCTCCACCTCCTCCTCCTCCTCCTCCTCCTCCATCCCCTCTTCCTCCTCCTCTTCCTCCTCCTCCACATCCCCTGCCCCAGAACTCCTTCACTCCCTCCTCTCCGCATGGTCCGCATGTTCCAAATCGTCGTCATCATCCTCCCCCTCCTCGCGGTCGGGATTTATTCCACCTCCCTCTCCTTCGACGCCTCCTCCTCCTCCTCAGAGGCGCAGGCGCAGGAAGAGTACTGCCATGAAGGAGGAAAGCCCTGACGGGAACGGGTCCTCGACACCGAGGCTGCCCCCTGGGACCAGCTCATCCCGAATACTGCTGTTTGACAATCTCACGGGGCCCGCAGAGGGCCCCGAGAGCCCGCAGAAGCAGTCTCCCTGCGGACCCGCATGCAGCATGTCCAGAAGACCCTGAGCTCCGACGCCACGACCAAAATTGAAAACAACGCACCGGCAGACTCTCGACTGGAGGTGTTTGTTTTAATTTTCTTGTTTAATGTGTTGTTTATTTCATTTTATGTTTGGTTTCTTGTTTTTGTCTTGATTTTCTTTTTTTTACTCTCGACTGGAGGTGCTCTTGCTGTTTCCCTCGAGCCGGATCGACCCGCGACGGCCCCACGGCCCGCCACGGGGCGGAAACGCCCGGTGACAGCAGCAGCAGCGCCCAGGTCTCACGGGGAGCCCGCGGCCCCGCCCGGCCTTGCCGAACTTCTTCGGGTGGAAGCCCTTGCTGGTCCCGGAGGTGCACAGGGAGTTGAAGAGCGGGTCGCAGGCGATGCAGGCGGTCTTCTCAGTTTCCCCGCCGTCCAGCGGCGACTTGCCCTCGCCGCCGGCGCGATGTCGACGAGGGTCAACGACCACGATGAAGGCGAGGGCGGCGGCGGCAACAGCAAAGGTTTCCCAGAAATGCTCGCATCTTGAGTTCTCACGACGGGAAGGCTTTTTCTGTTGTATGTTGCAGCCTCTGGGGTCCCTCGCTAGGTCTCAGGACTGTCACAAAGGGCTCAGGATGAAACTGGCCCTGGGGAAATGGGTCGGGCCGTCCATGGGCCTCGCATTGACAAATAGTAAGACATCGCATGGCTGGGGACGACAGCAGCGGCGGCAACGGCGACGGCTCCCTCCCCTCCGGCGGGGTCTAAGGGGGGGGTGGGGAGGAGGCGAAAAGGACGACGACTAATCGAGCACCTCGCCGAGATGAGGGAGGCAAGCCAGCTGACCAGAGGACGTCCCCTGTGAGCCTGGCTTGTTTTGCCCCTGCGCACTTCTGCGCTTGAGGGGTGCTCACGCTCGCCGATTCGGCTTTAAGCGGACTTGGTCTGTAGGACTATGGGGCACGCGACAACGAACGTCGAGACTGTGAAATCACTGGCGCAAATCCTCGAGATTGGCCTCTGTGACAATCTTGGACGGACCTTTCGCACGAGGGTGGAAGCCACGACCGATCAGCACCAGAGTCTGCTTCCCCTTGGGGGATGGCTGCCACACAGGGCTTGCAGCTGTGTGCGGATGTGTGCGGGAACGAGGCGTGGGGCCTGCCGAAGGCGAAAGGCCAACTCGAGTTGACTTGGGCACGACCTTCTGAGGAGACGTGCCACCAGAGCGGCGGGATGGCCACTGCTCCACGCCCAGGGTTGCATCCTGTCCAGCCTGATGCCTGCAAGTGCCCCAGGTGAAGAGGCATGCCAACACCGTCCTGGTAGCAGCCCTCCGCTGCCCGTGCTGCCGCTCGCGGCCTCGCGCGTCGCGAGAGGCCCTGGACCACGGCCTGACGTGATGCTGCGGGCACACGGAGGGACGGGACTCCTCTGAGCCCCTCCGTTGTCCTGGGCCGACTTGGCATCGAAACGACCTGACTGTCATGTGGCCTGGCTGCGTGGCGAAACGGATTGCTGCACAAGCGAAACTCCATTGGACATCCAGCGCTGTGTTACCAACACGGCTGCCCGCGTCGGAGGAAACGAATGTCATGTTGCCTTGAGTTGTGGAATGTGGTGCGATTGGCTGCGATATGTTTTCGGATATGCACACAGGTTGCTCACGCGCGCTGCCACATGCCTGACGGAAGCCATACGACGAGCAGCTCCCACGGCTGCATGCCTCCGCGCATTGGCCCTGGGGCATTTCGAGTCGGCCCGCCTATGTTGCATCCCGCGGGAAGCCCGACACTGTCTTCCATCGACTCTGACTGCGCCGGCACGCAACGGATACAGGAGGAGACATCTCCCCGCCCTGCAGTCAACGATGCTGTGCAATTGAGGCCCAGTCTTTTGATGTGACTCCGCCTAACTGGCGCTGCCATTTGCAGTGCAACGATGCAGGACGATGCGCCCTGTTCCGATGTTCTACTGCACCTGGTCTGACAAATTCGCCCGCTCGGGCTTTCGGCCTGCAAGATGGATTTAGGTCGGGCATGTCCTCCTAGAGGCGGATCGCGAAAGAAAATAAACAAGTAGTTTAAACATGTGCAAGAATAGCCAAATCATTATTAAAAAGTCGTCCCCTGACTCTATTTCTTGACTGTCTTTGAAGATTCATTCCTCCTGTGCGGGGACATGCCCAACTTGAATGAATATCGTTTAACCGATCCCTATCCCCAGCGGCGTGGCCCGGGCCCCACTGGCCGATCTGCCCCCCGAAATGGAGATACAGGTCGCTCCCTTCGGGCTTCGAGGGGTGCATCCCCCACTGGGGGGTGGTCGTCTGGTGGGCGTCTGGAAGGGGATGGGGACGGGGATGGCCGGGATGGGGATGGGTTAAACGATACCTGTCCCACTGTCCCATTGTCCCCGCCGCTATCCCACTGAGCTGTCCCACTGTTCCCACCTTTGCCCCCACTGTCCCCACCACTGTCCCCACTGTACCTCTGTCCCATTATCCCACCGCCGTCCTCGCCACCGCCCTCACCACTGTCCCCGCCACCACTGTACCCTACACTGTCCCACTGTTTCCACCACATTCCCACTGCCCCCACACCACTGTCCCCACCACCACCGTCCCCACCACTATCCCACAATGTGGTGGTGTGGGGGGGGGGAAGGCTCCGGCCGCCCCGCGGCCTTCCTCACCCCGGGGCCCCCCGGCCCGCCCGCGCCCCCCTGGCCCCTCGAGCCGCAGAGCGGCAGGGTGCGCCCCGCGGGGCTCTGCTCGGCCGCTCGCTGGACCCACCGCGCCGCGGAGCAGAGCCATCGGGGAGAGAAGAACGCCTCCTCCTCCTCCTCCTCCTCCTCCGCCTCCTCCTCCTCCTCCACTTCCAGAACCCCAGACCCTATCTGCGGGGAGGGCATTTTGTTTCTTTAACTATTCAAGATCCCCGGGAGGCCCGTGCGTGCACAGGAATCCTTGCTGCGGGCCGCGCCCCTGGCCCGCGCCTGCGCCAGGTCGTGGAGCCCAGGCGCGCGAGCCGCGGTGAGGGCATCGGATGAGGAATCGTGGAGGAAGGAGTCCAGGGTCTGGAGGCCAGTGTGGCTCCAATCGTGGACTGGCCGTGGACATCGCCGCGGCCCTCATTGCACAAGGCATCCTGCAGGGTCTGCAGCCTCCTGGGCACTTTCCTTCACGAACGCCCCCACCGTAGTAACACGATGAAGACGTGGCCTCACTGAGGTCCCCGGCTTTGCATCAGGCGTAACAGCTCTGGTCAGTTTGGTGCAATACATCGGCAGAGCAGACCCCCTATCCCTAAAGATTTTGGCCCTCCTAACTTCGGTCCCCGCCCGATGGGAGGAATCCTTTTTGGATCACTCACCGAGGGTGTGTGGCGGGACGTGTGCAACATCGGTTGGTGCTGTCCAAATAATGGGATCCGCCGCCGCGCGCCCCTGGCACGCTGAGGCGTAGCAAATCTTAGCCAAACATATGGCCAAGAACGCTACCACTTCCGAAATCTGGGCCAGCCTCCGGGACAATCAGTAAAACGAACCTGGGCCAGTTTCTGCTGCTCCTGCTGAAGAGGCGAACGTGCTCCAGCTACTGGGCCAGCTTTCCGGCAGGCTGGTTCAGAAACGCGGGTCCAGCTCTTCGGAAGGAGGGCTCTTGATCAGAGGCTCGACTGTAGTTGATCTGCGTCATGTTGGGCACACCAAGCGGTCAAGCAAACGGCGGGGCACACAGCCGCCGCGAAGAGACGCACGGGGGCGCGGGCCGGAGAAAAGATGGGGAGAAGAATGGAAGCGGGACGGCCAGACAGGCCTCATGACCCTCTTGGGATGCGCCATGCGGAGCAAGCGCACACCCACGCCACGGCCAGTGCCGACGAGCACACCAGGGAGACGTGGTGCAACCGAACGTGCTGTCTGGCAGGGCTTCTGTAAACTGTCGACGGGACCCCTCTCACAAGGCTCACAGCCGCCTGCGGCACCCAGCAGCAGCAGCAGCCCCCAAGACTACCCCAAAGAGGTGCAAGAGAGCCCCAAGAGGCTTCCTTGGCATCAGAGGTTACGGCCAGGAGCCATTCCAGGGTAGCGAACGACCACGTGAGGGAGGATGGGAGTAGAGTTGTGGATGCCATGCCAATACAAACTTTATCCGGTCAAAACCTGCTAAAGCATGTTTAGCACTTTCGGAGATCCCCCCCCCAGATGCGGATAAGAGTGGGGACGGTGGGGACGTCGGCAGTCTGCGAGACTCTGAAGAAACCCGCCGCAGGTGCCAAAGCTGCACAATATACAACGAGCCCGCCGCAGGCGCCGATTTGTTCGTTAAACCAGGTAGGTCGCGGGTGGGTCGCAAATGGGTCGCGGGTGGTTCTCTCTTGGGTCGCGGGTGGGTCGCGGGTTTACAGGGCAGGAAATCCACCCATAATAAACACCCCGACCAGCGAAGCCGTTTAGTAGACGCACACAAGGAATCAATCGAACAGGGCAAGGCTGCTTAGTCATCGCCCAAGGCCTGTTAATAAACGTCAATTGTCGGGTCCGGGTGGTTTTTCCTCCCTTGAAGGTGGGTCGCGGGCTGGGTCGCGGGTGGGTCGCGGATGGGTCGCGGGTAGGTCGCGGGGTGGGTCGCGGGTGGGTCGCGGGTGGGTCGCGGGTGGGTCGCGGGGTGGGTCGCGTGGTGGGTCGCGGGGTGGGTCGCGGGGTGGGTCGCGGGGTGGGTCGCGGGTGGGTCGCGGGTCGGACGACGACAACAACAAACAACAACAACAACAACAACAACAACAACAACAACAACAACAACAACAACAACAACAATTACTAGCACGTGGGGACACTCCGTTCTCACCAGTGCCAGGGTTTTCATACGACGCCCGCCAATACCCCCACTTTGTGGGGGGGCCGGTTCAAGCTCTACCACATTTCCAAACGACTCTTCGCCACCACCCACACCCAGCTTCCCGCCCTATGACGTTCGGACACTTCACTTCGTGGCATGCGGACGACCGTGGCTACTATTCAGGGCCCCGCGGCCGACGACGACGGCGTGCGCGCGCGAAGAAAAAACGAATGTGTCCCGCATGGTATTATTTGACAGGGATGATGGCCCTGGCAGGTGCGCAACCGTTGTTGGAGAAGTTCGAAGCACGTGAACAAGTTGCTCGGAAAAGCCCGTTTGACAGAAATGTTTAAAAAGTGTTGGGTTTCCTACAAATCCGCAAGAGCGCGCGGGATGAAATTTTGACATTTTTTTTTGAAAAACCATTGGTTTTTTGATGTTTTTATGTTGAAATCGCTACGAACACTAAGGTTTTGGAAGGATTTCGTCTTGCGCGCGCGAATGTCCACTTTACCTTATTTTTTGCAAGGGATTCTTGAAGTTTGGTTATGTTAGAACAAGAAATGTCCACTTTAGCTTATTTTTTGCAAGGGAAAACGGGGGACAACAAAACAACCGGATCCGGACACACGTTTTGCCTGAGACTTCCTCACGAAAATGATGAAAATGTGGCTGCGGCCTAGGCGCGGCGAGGGGGCCGCGCACCAGGGGCCCCAACAATAATTATTCTTTAGAATAAATAATGTTCAACAACAACAACAACAGCAACAACAACAACAACAAGGCAAAACAACCGGCTGGTGGACCCGGTGAGGGTCCACCAGCTCGCTGTTTCGCTCCTTGTGGCGAAACATCTCACTGGTGGACCCGGACCCCCCCCCTCCCCCCCCCCCCCGGCGCAACGCAACGCAACGCAACGCAACATATGGTTGGCAATAGAAACCCAAGGAAGCCGTTAGGAAATCCTCTGGAATCCTTCGGGATCCTGAAGAAAGCCGACGCGTTTCCACGAGCTGAGACTATGTGCGCTCCCCCGAGCCGAAGACTTCGGGCATGCTGTAGAATCCGAAAGGGATGCTGTAGAATCCCTAAGGGAAGGCTGCAGAACCCCCACGTGATGCTATAGAATCCCTAAGGGATGCTATCGAATCCCTAAGGGCTGCTACAGAATCCCTAAGGGCTGCTACAGAATCCCTAGGGGATGTTATGAAATCCTTAAGGGCTGCCATCGAATCCCTGAGGGCTGCTATAGAAACCCTAATGGATGCTATAGAATCCCTAATGGATGCCATAGAATCCTTGAGGGATGTAATAGAATCCTTAAAGGGTTGCTATAGAATCCCTTAGGGATGCGATAGAATCCCTAGAAGAGAGGCTATAGCATTCCTAAGGGATGCCATCGAATCCCGGAGGGCTGCTGTGGAATCCTTAAGGGATGCTACAGAATCCTTAAGGGGATGCGACAGAATCCTTGAGGGATGCTATAGAATCCCTGGGGGGTGCTATAGAAACCTTAAAGGGATACTAAAATTAAAATCCCTGAGGGCTGCTTCAGAATCCCTCAGGGGGAGCTATAGAATCCCTGAGGGATGCCATAGAATCCCTGAGGGATGCTATAGAATCCTTATCTAAGGGCATGCTATAGAATCCTGAAGGGGGTGCTATAGAATCCTTAACGGGATGCTATTGAATCCTTAAAGGGATGCTATAGAATCCCTGAGGGATGCTATATAATCCCTGAAGGATGCTCTAGAAACGAAAGGGCTGGTATTGAATCCCGAAGGGCTGCTATAAAATCCCTAAGGGGTGCTATAGAATCCCTTAGGGATGATATAGAATCCCCATGGGTCCCGGCGCGTTGCCCGGCGCCCCTCCGTGGCCTGCCCCAGAGGGGGGAGGCGCATGCCCAAATGGCTTGAACCACATATGAAGAGAGGGAGAGGAACGCGCCCACGTCAGCCGCAAGGCCACCGGAGCCACGGGGGTCAAATCCGCCGCCGTGCCTCCTGCACGGCAGAGGCGAGTTAGAAGCTGGGCCAGCACGGGAACGAAAAGAGCTCCCTGTGGGGCCAGGGCCACGATCCTCGACAGACGTGTGCCGAAATGGTGCTTCGGTGGGGTTCCGTGTGGAGTCAGGGCCACGATCCTCGAGATGGGTGTGCCGAAATGAAATTTCAGTGAGCCTCCCTGCGGGGTCCGCGCCACGATCCTCGAGAGGGGTGCGCCGAAATGATGCTTCGGTGGAGCTCCCTGTGGGGCCAGAGCCACGGTCCTCGAGAGGGGTGTGCCGAAATGAAAATGCGGTGGAGCTCCCTGTGAGACCAGGGCGACGATCCTCGAGAGGGATGTCCCGAAATGAAGCTTCGGTGGAGCCCCTGTGCGGCCAGGGCATCGATCCTCGAGAGGGGCGTGCCGAAATGGGGCTTCCTGCGGTGCCAGGGCCACGATCATCCTTGAGGGGTGTGCCGGCATGAAGCTTCGGAGAAACCCTCTGTGAGGACAGGGCCACGATCCTCGAGAAGGGTGTGCCGAAATAAAGTTTCGGAGGAGCCCTCTGAGGCCAGGGCCGCGATCCTCGAGAGAGGTGTGCCGAAATGAAGTTTCGGAGGAGCTCCCTGTGAGGCCAGAGGCCCTATGGGATTCCTATAAGATTCCTAAATATGACTCCCATAGGAGTCGTGAAAGTTTCCCGCAGGATTCCTATAGGATTCGTAAAAAGGTCCTTCCTATAATATTCGCAGAGGCCCTATAGGATTCCCATCGGATTCCTATAGGACTCCTATTGGATTCGCAAAGGGTTTCTAGGATTCCTATAAGATTCTTATGGGATTTCAAGAGGATTCGTGGAGGCCCTATAGGATACGTGTACAAATCATACAGGATTCCGACGGGATTCGTAGAGGCCTTATAGGATTCCGATGGGAGTCCTATAGGATATGTAAAGTCCCTCTGGGATTCCTATCAGATTCCTATAGGAGTCCTATAGGGTTCGCAGAAGCCCTATAGGAATCCTATGAGACTCCTATAGGAATCCAAAAATATTCGCAGAGGCCCAATAGGATTCCTACGCGTTTGCTATAGGATGCCTATAGGAATCGTGCAGGCGCTATGGGATTATTCTGGGATTCCCGTCGGATTTCTGTAGGGTTCGTAGAGGCCCTAAAGGATTCCTAAGGGATCCCGATAGGAATCGGAGAAGCCCTGAAACATCCCCATCGTATTCCTGTACGATTCCCATCGGATTCCTACAGGGTTCCCATCGGAATCGATCCCTATAGGATTCCTATGGGGTTCCAATTGGATTCCTATAGGGTCCGTAGAGGCCCTCTAGGATTCCCATAGGAACCCTATCGGATCCTTATAGGATGCGTAGAGACCCTATCGGAATCCTTTGGGATTCCAATAAGATTCGTATAGGCTTTGTAGAGGCCCTATAGGGTCCCCAAAAGGATTCCTATAAGATCCGTGTATGATTCGTACAGAATCGATGGGCCAGAAAGGATTCCCATGGGATTCCCATCGGAATCCTAAAAGCCCTATAGGATTCCCATGGGGTGATTCCTATGGGATCCCCATCCGAACCCTAAAGGCCCTCGAGGTTCCCTACAGGCTTCCAATAGGATTCCTGTCGGATTCGTAAAAGGCCCTAGAGGATTCCCTTAGGATTCCTCTGGGATTCCCATAGGAGTCGTAAAGGCCCTATAAGATTCCTATAAGATTCCCATTGGATTCCCATCGCATTCGTAGAGGCCCTATGGGATTCCTGTGGGATTCGTATGGGATTCCTAAAAGGTTCGCGGAGAACCTATAGGATTCCCATCGGAACAGCAGCAGCAGCAACAACAGCAACGACGCAACAAGCAGAATTCCCACCACGAGTTCCTTATACAGCCATGCACCTAGGGACCATGAATCACCGTTCGGCCCCCTCGCTCTGATTTCATTTGGAGATCATTTGGCATGATGCCTCCTCTCCGTTGATCGTCTTCCACACGCACAAGAGTAGAGAGGAGCGTGCTGAAATGCCCGACCATGTACCCCAAAACTGCCTCCTGCTTGCTGCCGCCTCGCATCGCCTGCTTCCCGCCGCCGTTTCGAGCCCGCCGCTCGGAGCTCTCGAGCCTGCGGTTGCGGAGTTGCTTCGCCGTCCCGGCGAGAGGCTGCTCGCCACTCGAGAGCCAGAGGAGGACGACATCGACGACAGCGACGACGAAGGCAGCGACGACGACGATGACGACGACGACGAGAGAGTCGGGGCCTTGTTGAAAGTGACGGCCAGCAAGTGTGCCCCGCACTCCTCGCAGTAGTCGGGCGACACCTTGATCTTGTGCGCCTTGTCCCCGAATATGTGGAGCGACTGCATGCAGACGTTGCAGTCCACCTCCCCCCCCTAAGGTTAGGCCGGGCATGTCTTCCAGCAGGCGGATTTCGAAGAAACCTGAAACAGAAACCGAAACATGCTTAACAAACATCCGAATATGTCAAGAACTCTTCCGGCGGGACGAACGTTTTGGCCAACTTGCCTTCCCCAAGGGAGTTCTTTTGCGCCGGCGCGGAATAATTTTCCACGCATGCATAAATAGGCGGAATCATTAATCCCCTGCAATAAACAGTTACTACTAATTCGCATCAGTGGAAGAATTTGTTTCTTCCGCAGCGGCCGCGCCACCGCTGCGCTTTGTCCTTTCGTAGGGGTCTACGGGGGAGGGGGTGCCATCGCAAGTCTTGCGACGCTCTCGCCTTCATTCGACGTGGCAAGATAAGCGGGCCTAACTATTCTCACGGCGGTGTTCTCCTCCTGTCGAGGGACATGTCCGACCTTAAGCCCAGGGGGCCCGCGATGCGTTGCCGCGCAGGGGGGCCCCCGGGCGGGCCCGAGCCCCCGAGAGGAGCCCGGGGGGGGGGAGGGGGGCTGCCCCCTGGGGCCTGCCGCTGGGGAGGCCGCTCATCGGGGGCGCGCAAACATGGATGAGCGATCCATGGATTTGGTGCGCGGTCGCCAAATCCATGGATCGGGGGAGGTGCCCTACTCAAAATGCGGCTGGTGCCGCCTCGCTCGGCGGCGGAAATCCGCGAGTTCCCATGGAAACGGGACCCGTCGCTAATCCACGCCCCCTTGATCCATGGCTGCGATCGCCTGAGCTAAGGGATTCGACTTCGGGGAGGCACTCGGGGGCTGCAGGCCGCCAACATGGGGGCCGGCGGATCGCGCCGCAAACTCGGTGGCGAGAGAGGAGGCGGCGGGACTCCTCCTCCTCCTCCCCCTCCCCCTGTTCCTGCTCCTGCTCGTCGTCCTCCTCCTCCTCCTCCTTCTTCCTCCTCCTCCTGCTCCTCCTCCTCCTCCTCCTCCTCTCGGCGGCGAGCAAGGGGGGAAATGAGGAGAAGGCCTTCTCAGAAGGCCAGCGGGACTTCTCGAAGAAGCCCTCGCGCCTTCTGCGAGAGGTCTTCTGTGTCTTCTTCTGGGACGGCCCAGAAGGCTTCTCAGAGGGCCGGCGGACTTCCGAGCCCTCTGAGAAGACCCGCCTTCTCTCACTTACCCCCCTCCGCTCGCCGCCGAACATCTGGCCGAGGCACCGGTCGACGCGTCGGCGATGTCCGGACGGAGAACCTCGGACCCGATGATCGGCGCCGCACCGCCGATGCATCGCCACGGGCGGCGATCGTGTCCGGAACGTGTCTTTTTCTTCTGCGACGCCGGCAATGCGGAGCGATCTTCCGAACCCATGTTTCCCTGGCAGCCTGGGAGGCTTGCGCAAAGTCTTCGGACGCTCTGGGGGCTGGCATCATGGGAGGTTTACACAACGTCTTCGGACGCTCTGGGGGGGTCGCGCAAGGTCTGGGGAGACTCTCGGGGGCTTGGGGAGGTGGTCGGTGTGCTGTTGCTGCCGTTTTCGGAAGCTGGGGCAAGTTTTCGTTGGGCGGGTCAACGGGGACTGCCATCTCTCCTCCCTGATGTCCTCCAAATCATCGCCCGGCGGTGCGCTCGTCTTCCACGCGCAACTCCTCCAACACCTCTGTCTCGGACCCCTTTTCCGCTCCCTACTCTACCCCCCCCCGGCCCTTTTGTTCTCCTCCCCTGTCCTCCCCACTCCCCTTGTTCCCCTCGTTTACCTCCTCCCTCCCACTCCCCCGCGGGGCCAGCCTCAGTAGCTCTCCCCTTTCGCGCCTCCCCACCACCTCATGTCCCTCCCTGGTGTTCAATCGCGTTTTAGCGCCATCGCTTGTGCAATGCTCACTGCACACGGTTGCCAGCACATGCGCGTCCAGCGAGCATGCGTTGATTCGTCTACGATACGACGTGTTCCTGTCCGCCCCCCGCGCGCCAGTGGGGGCACAGCACCTCCTCGCCGCTGAGGAGGCACGAGTACGAGAGCATACTGCAGCAGACTGATGCTGAGAGAAGCAGCTGCCCATGAGCAGAAGACACAGCATGTGAACTTCACAGATTCGGGGAGGAAAGGGGGACGGTCCTCCTCCTCCTCCTCCTCCTCCTGCTCCTCCTCCCCCGTTCCTGCTCCTCCGTCTTGACAGCCGAGGGGGTCGGGGCCGAAACCTCCCTGCGAGCCCTGGGCGGACCCAGGGTCTCCAACTGGCCTCGGGAGGCCAACAGGACGGCCGGCGACGAGCCGACCGCCTCGCCGTGGCGAAGGAGGAGGGGGAGGAGGAGGGGGAGGAGGGGGAGGAAGAGGAGGAGGAGGAGGAGGAGGAGGAGGAGGAGGAGGAGCAATGGAGCAATGGCCGAGGGCGCAGAAGGGGATCCCGACTGAGCCTCGGAGGAAGCGCCGATGGGCGCGGACGAGCGCCCGAACTGCTGGCCACAGCTAGTCCGAGTCACCAGACTCGGGCAGTGGCTGCAGCACGGGGGCCGAGGGGGAGAGGGGAGCCGAAGGCGCGGGCCTGCTCAGCGCCGCAGCACCGGCTCGCGGCACAGGGCTCCGACCCTCCTCCTCCTCGACCCCACGAGCGACCCCGACCCCCCCATCCGCCACCCCCGTCCCGACGACAGTGAGCGTCTGCACGGCGGCCTCAGGGGCAATCGGGGCCAGCATCAGCGGGCCGGGGGCCTCCCCCGTCTTGGGGTGGCGGCCGCGCTGGGCCTGCTGCAACATTCGCTGGACTCTCTCACTTCGCGCACCACCCCCACCCGCTCCCGACCGACTTCCATCCTCCCTGACGATGCACGCGCGCTTGAGGCCCACAGAAAACCTCTGCGGGCGCACGGCGTGGGCCCCGCAGCGCGTGCAAATCAGCACACGGTCGCATTCCTGGACCAGGTGTCCAGGACCAACGTCCAGGGGATCACACAGACGGGAGGAGAGGGACTTCAGGGAGGACGGGGTCGAGGCCTGGCGCCAACAAACAGTGCACCCGATCGCGCCAGCAGGAAACAGGGCGAACGCGTGGGTGGTCGGCTTGCGCTGGCGGGGGGCTTTAGGGGCAGGCGGTAGCGGCCGATGGACGACGGGCGATGCCATCATGGCCACTCTGTGGGCGGCAAAAGCGAGACATCTCATCCGCTGTTTCGCCTGCTCCATCACAAACTTATGCGTACGAATGACCGAGGAAGATCCAGACAGATCGAGCGCGGCCATCTTCGCGAAACAGTCAGCCCACATGTTACCGAAAAAATTCTCGAGGGGCTCTCCCGAGGAAATGCACGACGCAATGCCTTCATCCACGGACCTGTGAGCACGAGTCCAGGAGAAACGGGGCAAACGATCTAAATCTCTTTCAAACAGAGCGTGCAACTGCCTCCAGACACTCGCATGGGGAGCTGTCGGTCGAGCATGCCTGCCAAACCAAAGCTCCCCCTCTTGCGCCAGAGCCAGGTGATCGGTGACAAACTCAGACGGCCTGGACGCCAATTCGAGACCTCGGAGGGCGGCGACCCTTTCGGCCCTGGGAACGGTTTGAATCGGGCCTCCGAGGCCACCAAAAACAGCCTTGAACGGCAAAAAAATTGGCGTGAGGGCCACGACCGCCCAGCCACACCGCATAGCCTCGGGGAAATCGCTATCCAAACAGGACCCGTCGCCAAAAACTTTAGACGGCCACGGCACATCGCGGGCACCCCACTCTCGAACAGGCAGCATGCTGGGCTCAGGGGGCCGAAACTCAGGGCGCATCGGCAACGCGTAGAGCAGGTCGACAGCGGTGAAGTCCCACTCCGCACCAGCGCCCGTCTGGCCCTGCTCCCAAATGTCCTTCCTGACCTGCAGCACGTCCTCGGGGCACGGGCCCTGCTCCTCCCCCTCCTGCGCCTCGTGCACGGTGCAGTAGAACATCTCGTGCTCGATGTCGGCAGGCGCGTGACCACAGAACTCACAAACTGCATTGTCCGTGCAACCTGCCTCGCGCCGACGGGCGGGCGTCCACATGCCGTCAGACTGAAGCTTTGCCAAAGCACCACGCAGCCCGCTGGACAGCCTCTGCAGGTGACCCTGACGAAGGGCTCGCATCCAGATATGCCTTCGGCTTCCGTCTGGCCGCCGAGCAGGGGCTCCAGGCAGATGGTCCAAAATACGATGGCTCTGCCAGCGCTCCAGGCTCAGGTACATGTAGTGCTGGACCTCGCTGGGACAGACCCTCAGCAGGTCGATGCCGACACCCGCGTCGTCCACGAGGACCGTGGCACTGGCCATGTCCCACCCAACTCTGCGCAGAGTGAGCCAGAGCGCAGAGATGGGACCCCTAGCACTGGCCCAAGTGACAGCACCGCGAGCATCCTCGAACTGGTCTCTCAGCGCCATCCAGGCCCTCTGCAGCTTGGCGAGAGAGCCGCGCGCGGCCCACACCCACACCGTGTACTGCTGCAGCAGGCTGCAGGTGGCGTGGTAGATCGGGTCGAAACTGCGCTGCTTCTGAACTGCCAGGTACAGTGTGAGGGAGCCGCTGCCACTGAAGCCACAAAAACTGCCTGCCAAGCTGCGCATCTGCTTCAGCTCGCCGTCGTTCATGCCGCTGACAGCCGCGCCGTGGCCGACCGACGGCAGCACGCCGGTGGTCCAGAGGCGCGCCGAGCGCCAGCGTCCAGCCCCCTTCTGCAACGCCTTCAGCCGAGGGCGACGAGCATCCATCTTCTTGAGGCGATCCTTCTGGACACAGCGCACAGCAGCGCAGGCCGCGAGGTCGTGGCCCAGGTAGCGCATGTGACGTTTGCCACCAATATTGAGCAACTTGGCATACTGCCTGAAGTGATACTTGGACTGCTGTGTGACGGCCAAGTGCCCCGATTTGTCCAACTGCAGGACCAGGCCGAGGGGTTTGACCGCCTCGCAGAACACTTTCGTGGCAGTCGCAAGCGTGCGGGCACCGCGGGCATCGGCACCAGTCCACGACAAAGCCACGTCGTCCACCAGGTCACGTGGACGAACCTCAGGAGCGATTCGAGCAGTCATGCGTAAAGTACGCGTCAGTAGCACCATCAGCAGCGTAGTGGCATGAGTGCACCCCGCCAGGATTCCCTGGTACGCACGCTTCGCCTCCGAGAAGGAGTTGTACGCAAAAATCGCGCGCTCCTGCTGGTAGAGCAGCACGAGCATGTACGCGAGCCTCATGGGAAACAGATTGGCCCTGCACTCGTCCAGCAGCGCCTGGTGACGCACCAACTCGTAGCACTTGAGCATGTCGAGCAGCACGATCAGGGCGTGGTCGCCCGTGAGGTGGGCCGTCTCCTGCTCGAGGGCCAGATCGAAGGCAGCGTCGGAGGAGGATCTGCCTCCCGTGTGCCCCCAGAACTCCTCGCTGGCGTTGTTCGCTTCCCACTGGGCAGAGACAGGCCGGCGGGCCCTCCCCCACACCCGAACGAGCGTGTTGAGGAGAGCGATCAGGCGCCCCCCCCCTCCTGGTTTGGGAAGTCGAACGAGCTTCGTCATGAGCCGAGCCTTGGGCCAGATGAGCAGCTGCTCGCAACGACAGAAGACGGCGGCCATCGCATCCAGGGCTGCGTCGGACAGGTGGTCCAACGCCCGCGGGGCAATCCTGACCTGCCCCGTGCCCGTTGTCCAGCTGAAGGCGCGAACCGCACGGCGTACGTCCCTGCCGCTGAGAGGTGGCAGCTGGTCCCACACCTGGTGGTCGCTGGGCAAATCAATCACCCCGTCATCGTGCCTCTGCCAGTACTGGTTCCAGTGCTGCACCTTACGATCGGCCAGCTGGTACGCGTGCTGGACACCTGCGCCGTAGTCGATCACCTCCTGGAGCGCCAGTGGCTTGGAAAACTTGTGAGCGCGACTAGCGCCGCCTTCGAACGACGCCTCGGCCCACGCCTGCCAACTGGCGGCTACCTTACTCTCATGCGACCGCTGCCCTCTGCCTTGACAATGATGCGCTCGATTTGCTGGTCGAAATCCTCCCGCACGAAAGCCAGGAGCCCAAGCACAACTAGATCGACAGCCGCCTTATCAAGATGTGGCCAAACATCGGAGCGAGCAGCAATCCTTTTCAAAAAATACTGGAACTCCAAAATGTGCCTCGCGGTCTTGTCGCACAGCTTGCTGCAGTAGACCCTCGGACGGGGGCGTGCTCCAGCCGCTGCCGCCACCGCGCAACAGGACGCAGCCGCAGACGACGCACCCGTAGCCGAGGAAGACGATGGCGATGGCGCCTCCGTCCCTGAGCAGTTCGGCCCTGGCAACAAGAGAGCAGGAGGGTCGGACAGCTTCGTGATGAACGATGCGAGAGCAGTGCGGACACGTCGGAACTGCCGCGCCCAACGCGCTGCAGCAAGCCAAGCTGCCACGTCGGGCGCCTTTCTCTTCCAAGACTGCCTCTCGTCAGGGTCGAACCTGGCCCACTCGAACGCAGGTGGCGCAGGGTTGGACGTGAACTTTGACACCTGCGGTCCGACGACATCGTAGCGGCCCTGCAGCTCGAACTCGATGCCCAGCAGCAGCTGGCCCCACACGTCGGCCATCTGCTCCGAGGAGGTCGCCTGCCTGATCTGATTCAGCAGCGGGTCCCAGTCTGGCGGCGGCCTGGCGCAGCCGACCTTCGGCGCCTTGGTGAAACCCTTGGCCTGCGCCAGCTGCCGAGTCCACATCGCCTGCGGCTGGGCTGCCAACCTGAGCGTGACGGGCAGGTGCGGCCAAGTATCTGCCTCACCGACTGCTGCATGGCTTATCCTCGGCATGACCTGGCAGGCCACGAAGAAGAAGTCGATGGTGCGCCCAGGGAGGGCCTGCATGCAAGTCGGCACCGATGGCACAACCGCAACGCCATTGACCGAGTGCAGCCACGACAGCGAGCCCAACTGATTGAGCTCCATATTGAAATCTCCTCCCACGATCCACGGCATCTGCAAAGTGTCGAGCACCTTCAGATACTGATACAACTTGAACAGGATGGCCAGGTTCTCTGGCGACAGCTGCTCGTCAACCCGCATATACAGAGAAATCATGACGAAACCTCGCTTGCCACCGCAGTTGACGTGCGCCGCCACCGTGCGCCCTGGCTCCAACGTTGGCCCTTCTAGCGCAGGGGGGCCTGTGATGAGCACACGCTTGGGCACCAAAACCGCCGCGCCGCCCTGACTGCCAGTGCCCTGTCCAGGTAGCGCAGCCTCCCAGACACCGTGGTAGCCCTCGGCGAGCGCGTCCCTCTGGGCCTTGGCCAGGGCTCCTGGCAGCGCATGATGCTCCTGCACGGCGACGCACATGCTTGAACAATTCGCCAGGTAGTCAACCATGGGGCCGCCTGACGAGACATTGATAGTGGTGACACCGATAGACTCAGCCATTGCGATGGGCACGAGACACAGCCACAGCAGAAAACGAAAGGGCGCCAGGGCATCAGCAGGCAGCGACCGCCTTGTGCCGCTTGCGCCCGAGCTTAGCCATGATCTCCTCGATCCTGCGCTTGTCGCCTCCTGCACTGACGATCTCATCGACGAACTCGGCGCTGTCGGCCTCGTCCTGCTCCATCGCGTCACACTCCGAAGGCGGGCTGCCGCCAGGCGCCCGCTGGTCCTCAGCAGCGGCGGCAGCAGCCGCAGCGGCTTCGGCCCTCTCCCGCTGCTGCTTGACCTTGGCCTCCTCGCTGAGCATCTTGAGGCGCTCCAGGTCCTCCTTGAGGCGCTCCGACAACCCATGCTCGGCGCCGAGGAAGTTGAGCACCTGGTCGAGCCCCGCCAACGTTTGGCCGAGCCCGACGATCGGCTCATCCAGCGGCCCTTTGCCGTGCTCAGGCTGGGGGGGCAGCGGGGCCTGGCTCTGGAGCTGCCGCTGCTGCTCCTGCAACTCCAGCATCTGGGTGTCGAGCGACGCCAACTGCTGCTGCGCCGCCTGCTCCTGCTCATGCAGCAACGCCAGCTTCTCGCGGATCCCCACGAGGCGCCGCTGCTGGTCCTCCTGCAACTTCTGCTGCCTGCTGATCTGGGCTCCGAGGTCACGTAGCCTCTGGCCCAAGGGGCGCGCCGCCGCCAGCTTCGCCTTGAGCTCAGATTGCTCCTTGACGAACGCCTCCTTTGCACGAGCGAGGTGAGGATCGGCACTGCCCTCGACCGTCTTGAGTAGCTCGCCCAACTCCCGCAGCCTCTGCTTGTCCTTGTCGGATCCGCTGAGCTCCTCCTCGGCCTCCACGGGCGGGGCCTCCGCACGCTTGAGCTTCGCATTGGCGGCCGCCAGCTCCTGCTTGAGCTTCTGGACCTGCACCGAATCCGCCCATGCAGAGAAGGACCTCCCTGGCCTGCGAAGCGACGGCAGCGGCGGCTCGCGATACTCCTTGAAGCAAAGCCCCTTGCCCAACTTGCACTTGGCGCAGGAAGTGGCGTCGGCGAAGTTGAACCAGGGAAGGCCCTTGGGCCCGACGCAGCTCTTGCAATACCATTGCCGCTTGCTCTGCTCCGAACGGTAGTGCTGTGGCGCCATCCAGCAGGCTGGCCTCGCAGGCACCGAGAGCAAGCCGCCGAAGCAGCGCAGGCTGGGCAGCAAGGCTGAAAGTGGGTGCCCAACTCCCACAGTGTAGGCGAACGGTGGTCTGGCCGCGGACTAGCGGTATCCGTGTGGTCCCCTGGGGCACCAATCATCTTGAGCCAAAATGGCTACGGAGGAGGAGGATGAGGAGGAGGAGGAGGAGGAGGCGCTGGGCTGCGTGCAGGTAGCCCTCCTCCCCAGGCAGTCGCGGCCGGGGGGGCTGTCTGCGCGCAGCCCGAAGCCTTGGCAGGCAGTTGCCTTGGGGGGGGGGGGGGGCCCGGCGGCGCGCAGAGATGGGCAGGGGGAGGGGGAGCGGCTGCGGAGAAGCACCCGTGCTCCTTCGAAGGCGCTGGCCCTGCCTCTCACCACAGAGCGAGGCCCGCGCCTTCTAAGAGCCAGGGGTGCTTCTAAGAACCCTTCCCCCCTCCCCCCTACCCGTAGGTAGAGGATGTCCCCCAGGAGGCGGACGAGGAACGAGAAATCTAGAATAGCCCAAAAGCAATCAAACATGGTCGACCACAGTCGAAGCATCGCACCCAGACTATCTCTTGACTACACGCGAACACTCCTCCTGTAGAGGGACATGCCCGACTTACCCCCCCCCTCTGCGCGCAGCCGAGAGGAACGGCGGCAGCGCTCTCTCCGGGCGCCGGCCGCCTGCCACTTCGGGCCCGAGTCCACGTCGAGGCACAGCGTGCCGCCGCAGCCCTCCCCGATGCAGGACAACACCTGCGGGCCCCCCCAAAGGCTAACACGGTGAGGGCATGGGGTAAGGAATTATTTGTTGTAGCAGGCAGCGTAGAGCGCCGTTTCACGATGTTTGAACTCGCCTGCCAGTGAGAAAGAAACTTGACACTCAGCTCTACTCGCAATCGTCTCGCTGTCACGCCCCAGAGCGTGGTCCCTGAAACGGGTAAAAAAGCCCGCCCCCCGACGGACTGAGAACGGGATAAGGGACAGTTGGATAAGGAGGCCGGGGTCTGGAGGCCAGTGGAACTGTCTGCAACCCCCTGGGCACATTCCTCAACCAACGCCTCCACCGTAGGTGCAACGAAAGAAGACCCCTAATCCTTTGGAAAAGGACCTAAGCTAGGAGGGCCAATAACATCAGGGATAACTAGGGGGTACGTTCTGCCGGTGTATCGAGACAGACCGTCCAGATGCTTCACCCCTGCTGCAAAGACGGGGACCTCAGAGAGGCCACGTCTTCATCGTGGTATTAAGGTCAGGGGTTCTTTTGTTCCCGATGATAATAAGACGAAACCGGGACGCTGATGAGATCGGACCGAGACGACCCAGGAATCTCCCGGCCGAGTGTTAGGTCGGGCGTGTCCTCCAACAGGGGCATTTTGGACAAAAATAAAACATACTCCAAACATTATCAAACAGAATCGAAACTACTAGAAAAATAGTCACAATCATATTTTTGGACTGTTTCTGAAGATTCCTCCTGTGGAGGGACGGGCCCGACTTCAGTCGAGTTCCAAGGGGGGCACCACTGAGGGGGGGGTCGCCGCTTCCTTGAGAGGAAGCGCCGCCGCCTCGAGGAGGCGGAGCCCCGAGAGCACCCACGGTCCCCCAAGAATCACATCGGGCATGTCCCCCTATAGGCGGGTTTTGAACGAATAAAGAACAGACTCGAACTGAGACGCACAAACATAATGCTTCAAACATGCTTTGAAAAAAGATCCCATATTCTCGTTTGACTATTTGTGAACATTCCTCCTGTAGAGTTGTGGATGCCACGACAATGGGCACCCTAACAGTCGTATCATTGAACTTCACTGCGTTAAAAATGTAGGAAACTGTTATTCTAAACATGTGTTAAGCATGTTTAAAACATGCTTAACACATGTTTAGGACATGTATTAGACATCGGGAAAGTATTTGGCAACATGCTTCCTCTCCATTGATCGTCCTCCACAACTGTAGAGGGACAGGCCCGGCTTAACCCAAGAAGAAGAACCCGACCCAAAGCTTCCAAAACTCTCCTCGGGCTTCGGTCCTCGCACCCCGAACCTCGCGATGCACTGGTGATCTTCCTACAGAAAAACAGAAACGGAACAAACATAATATTTTGACTAAGCCCGCACGGGTATCTTGGATCTGCGACGGACCCTCCTCCCTGGCGCGCGGAGCGCGCAAGGGGCGGCGCCAGAGGCGCCGCCGGGGGGGGCCCAGCGCCGATCCAAGAAATCCTCGCGGAGTGGCAAACGTTTATGTTTTATGCCATTATTTTGTTCTTCGACCCTACAGTGGTGGACAGCCATCGGCGCGTCGCGCTCCGGAGCTAAGATGAGGCCAGAGCGAGGATAACATCGGGGGAGCATACACCGAAGATCTCCGAGATCCAGCGGCTCTGGAGGATGTCTCGGGCGCCGCGGCCTTCTCAGAGGGTCCCAGAACGCTCCGAGAGCGCTCCGGAACGCTACGGATTGATATCCTCGTCCTGGCCCCATCCGCAGAGCGCGGCGGCGATGCACTCGGCGGCGTGCCCTCCATCGAGGAACCCTGGCGGCGGCGCTGCCCCGCCGCGGCCCTGCGAGTGGCACTGCGTGCCGGGCCTCCGCGCGGCGCGTGCCTCGGCGTTCGGGGCCTGCCGCGTGGCCAGCCGCAGGCTGCTGGCTCCCGCCCTGCTGCTCCTCCCGCAGCCGCTGCCCGACGTAGGGGCGCCAGCGGACCCGGAGTGCCCGCCCTGCTCCTCCTCCTCCTCCTCCTCCTCCTCCTCCTCCTCCTCCTCCTCCTCCTCCTCCTCCTCGTGCCCACCGTGCTGCTCCTCCTCGGCCTCCTCGGCGGAGCCCGCCGCAAGAGCCTGCTCCTCCGCGAACTTTCGCGCCGACCAACGGCCTGCTCCGCGAAGCACCGCCGCTGGGGAGGTATCTGCCTCCGTGCCGGGCCTTGCCCGAGGAGGTGCGCAGCGGAGAGGCCCTGAGCGGCCCAGAGAGGGAGAGGGCCCCCCCCCTCCCCTCCTCCTCCTCCTCCTCCTCTTCTTCCTCGTCCTCCTCCTCCTCTTCTTCGTTTTCTTTTTCTTCTTCGTCTTCGTCGTCGTCGTCCTCTTCCTCCTCCTCCTCATCCTTTCCTCTTCCTCCTCCTCTTCCTCCTCCACACGGCGGACCAAGGGAGGGGGGCAGGCGCCTTTCGGGGGTCACGCCCTGGTTTGGCTCGCTCCGCCCCGCCCCCTCCCGGCAGAGGGTGGGCCGCGCAAGCTCTGCCCCGGTGAGGGCTTTCGACGACTTAACGGGCGAAGAACGGTATAAAATAAACTTTTTCGCCGTCGGGGACAGCTGCCCCATGGCGGCTGGAAAGTTTATACCCTTACGGTGGCACCGTAGGGGTATAAACTTTCCAGCCGCCCAGGGGCAGGTGTCCCCGACGGCGAAAAAGTTTATGTTATACCGTTCTTCGCCCGTTAAACGACGTCTGCGGCCCCTCGGCCCGCGCGGGAGCGTCCGCGACGAGCGCCGGACTTCCCTGGGGATCTCGGGATCTGCCCGGGCTCCTCCGGGCCTGGCCCGAGAGGGGTGCCGGGGGGGAGGCCGCGCGCGAGGGGTAGGCGCCCCTTCGGGGCAGCAGACAGCACAAGCGCTGTTCTCAGAACGTGTAGCAGGTGGGTAAACGCAGCAGGGTCTCAGCCAGAAGGGCTATCATAACATATCGCGCGAACAAGAAAAGGATCGTGGCATATTGCTTGGCTTAGTGGGCCCTGGAAACGACAAGGCCGTTTTTTTACCGGTTCCGTTTTTGCCGCTTCCACTTTCAAGGAACATTTTTCTGGAAACGGTGAAAAAACGGCCCTGCCGTTTCCGGGGCCCACTAAGTTGCTTACGAGGCAGGCAAGGACGCTTCGCCACTGCTTGAGGTGAGGATCTCGATCTCTTCTTCTCCGGGACCGCCCACGTCGGTCGGGAGAAATCGGTATTAACATGCAGTAAGAAGGCGGATGAAATAGACTGGGTCCAGGCCCTCCCAGAGAACCGCGAAACACAATAACGCATCTCGATGATTGAAGTGGGAGGCGCCAGGAGCAGACTGGAACCTGGGAATTCAGAACTACCTAGTTTCAGCGACCGCCGTGCACCTGTGGCCGGTACTTCATGTAGACGGGGTGCTCCAGCTCCCAGAACTTGCCGGCCGCGTTCGCGGCGCCGAAGGGGGGGTCGTCGTAACACTTCGGGCAGAGAGGGTAGCTCTTGCCCACCTTGCCGAGCTGCGATCCAACGGACGGCGGGGGGGGATGGATGGGGAGAGAGGGAAGTCGATGCAGATAGAAGAAAAAGGGAGAGAGAGAGAGAGAGAGAGAAACATAAGAAAGAAAAGACACGATCCATGAGGAGGGAGAGGGAGAAAGAGGGAGGGAGAGAAAGAGCGAGAGAGAGAGAGAGAAAGAGAGAGTGAGTGGGGCTGGGGAGGGCCACGGCGGGTGGGAGGAGAGTAGGGGAGAGGGGGGAGGCGGCAGCTCTGCCGGCCGCCTTGTTGGCTATCATGACGAGCTCGAAGCTGTCCAGGGGGCACTTGAGCTCCTTGTAGAGCTTGATCTGCCCCTGCCGCTGTGGCATCTTGTACACGCGGTCGCAGTTCTTGCAGAACATGCGCACGGGCACCCTGCCCAGGCTCAGTCGGCATCGGCTCGGACAGCCGCATGGGATCGAGGCGCGCGTCGGCTCGGACGGCATCGCCACGGCGTCGAGACTGAATCGGATCGGCTGCGCCAGGACGCACACGGGCGCCCCGCGGGCAGTATCGGAGCGTCGGCGTTCCGGAATCGAAGCGGATCGGGCCGGCCGAAGCCGACGTCGCATCGGACCGATCGGATCGAAAGGGACCCTGCCTGTCCACCACGTTCATGTATTTGTTGCAGTCGCCGCACCGCGAGAGAGGCCGCCCGGCTGCCTCGAGGCTGGTGAAGGTGCTCTCGAAGAGCTGGTCTATGAGGTCCACGTGCTTCACGAAGTACATGAACTTCTCCCTGAACGTTCTCAGCACGAGCTGCACCACCGACTCGCACGGCGCCTTGCCGACCGCGATCAGCGTGCAGGACGACTCGATGTTGGCGCGGACGCGTGGGATGACCAACTCGTTGTCTACCAGCTGGAGACCGTGAACGAGCCCGATGCCAAGCTTTGTGGGAATCAGCCGTCGGCCCTCGGCGAGCGACACGTAGTTCCGCGTCTGGATGTTTTCGATATGCGTGGCCATGGACGCATCTGTACCGATGCCGTGCTTCTCCATTAGGCTGAGCAGATCCGATTCGGAAAGGTACGGAGGTGCGCGCGTCTTGTGGTTGCCGACCTTGCAGCTCTTACTCTGCAGAGACTCGTACTCCCTCTCCTCCTCCCCCTCCACCTCCACCTTCTCCTCCTCCTCCTCCACCTCCACCTTCTCCTCCTCATCCTCCTCCTCCTCCCCCCCTCCCAGGTCAAGAACTCTGATTAGCGTGTCACGGTGGCGGCTCAAGCGACACGCCATGCCCTGCAGAGGGAGAGCGTGTTGTTTCGCTCCGCGGGTAGCTAGAGGCTGGGAAAAGCGCAGAACGTGGTTGCTTGGGAATTGAAGGTGGTTAGCGTGTCGCCAAAAGACACAACAACGCCATAAATATTAACTTGTGGCGCTCTGCGCGGATTTCTTGGATCTGCGCTGGACCCCACTCCCTGGCGCGGGGGGGAGGCCCAGGCGCGCATCCAAGAAATCCGCGCGGAGCGCCAACAGTTTCTGTGTATGGCCTTTTCCCCTCTTGTATTGAAGGTGCTTAGCGTGTCGCGCCGAAGCGTGATAGGCCAGAGCCGGTCGCAAGACACGCTTAGCCAACATTCCCGAGCGTACTCAGGTCGGGCATGTCCCCCTACAGGCGGAGTTCTCGACGAAAATTAAAAAGTAGTCGAAACATGCTCAGTAATAAGGAAAAAGAGCCAAACACTCGTACCCAAACTATTGTTTGTCTATTTTCGAACACGTCTCCTGTAGAGGGACAGGCCCGACTTAAGCTTAGCCAAACTTCCCGAACGTACTCCTTCTCTCCATCCTTCAGGTGTTGCGGTTTGCCGGCCTTGCAGCTCTTGAGCGCCACGGACTCTCCGATCTTGAAGTCGGGGATGTTCACATCGTCCATCTCCCCGGAGAGCTGAATCCTCGTGAAGAAGCCAGGGCGCACGAGCCTCCTCCCTCCTCGCCCAGCCCCTCATCCTTCGTGATCCTCCACCTCTCACCTCTTCATCCGCCTCCTCCTAACTCCCGTTGGGAAGCATGAGATGATGATTCCTCCTCGTTCTGCTGCTTCTGATGCTCTTCCTCCTCGTCTTCGTCATACTCGAACTAGACCTTCTCCGCCTTCTCTGCGTCCTGGTCCTCCTTCTCCTCCTCTTCCTGGCCATCCTCCTCCGATTCCTGCTCTCTTCTCCTACACCACGCGATGGAGGAGCCTCGTGAAGCCAGGGTCTGTGACCTTGCGGCCCGCGATGCTGAAATGCTCGCCGTTGACTTCGAAGAATACCTTGGTCCTCAGAAACTTGCAGTCCCCGCTGACCGTCGCGAGGAAGTGGCGGGTGACCATGTCGAACAAACGCCAGCCGTCCCCGATCTGAGACTCGGTGGCGGACCTCACGGGCGTGATCGGAGGGTGGTCTCCCATGTCGGTACCGTCGCGGCCTGGGAGGATGAAGAGGAGGGAAGAGGAGTGAGGAGTGACGATGGAGGAGAGAGAGAGGTGGAGGAGGGAGGGAAGGAGAGAGAGAGGGGAAGAGGAGGATGAGGGAGAACGGAAGGACGAGGGAGGAGAACCAGAGCGGCCGAGAAGGGCAGGACGGGAGGTAGGGAAGGAGGTTGTCGGGATGCCCTCCCCATCCACCCAAACATCAGACGTCGTGCATGTTCTGCGGTATGGGCACCCGCGAACCTTTCGACTTCCTCCCCGGGGGCTGGCTCTTCCACCCCGTGGAGCCCCTGCTCTGCGCAGGACGGACCCAGGGCCCGCAACCAGGGCGCCTGCAAGCGGACAGGCCAGAACGACGCCTGCCGCCGCGGGGTATCCCAGGCCGTCTGCAGGTCTGCCCCCCGCGCCCCCCCCCCAGATGCGGTGCGGAGTCCCTGACTGCGACTGCTCGGCGTGCCGCGGCGGCGGCCCCTGGGGCACGCCACGCCTCCTGCGAGCCGCCTGCGCGCCGCTCTGCACGGCGGGGCGGCAGGCGCCGAGCAGAGCTCGAGGCGTCGACGAGTTGGGGGACGGGGGGGGGGGCGTGCTGGGCGTGTGGCGCCGAAGCGTCGCGGGCCAGAACCAGCTGCGGGAGACGCTAAGTTAGGTCGGGCATGTCCTCCTACAGACGGTGTTCGACGAGACATTTAAAACATAGTAATTTAATACTCCACAGTGATCCAAAATAGTAACAAAAGTCGTCCCAAGACTATGTTTGGACTATTTTTGAATATTCCTCCCGTAGAGGGACGCGCCCGACTTAAAGCTAGGGCAGCGTTTCTGACCGTAGGGCTCGAGCGCACCCCCCATTTGACTCTCGTGGTGTGCGTTCTGAGCAGAAATTCGCGGAGAGAACGACGCCTCGGCGATGAGGGTGCCGGAGGGTCCTCCCCGAACCAAAACAACAACTCATCATTAGTCCGACGGTAGGGCCCTACATGAGAATATGTTTAAAGTGCCTGGGGTTCTGCACCTGCCCCCTCCCTTCTCCCACCTGCTCCTGCCTCCTCCTTCTCCTCCTGCCTGCTCCTCCTCCTGCCTCAACCCCTCAACGCCCTGCCTCCTCCTCCTCCTCCTCCTCCGCCTCCTCCTCCTCCACTTGCCTCCTCAACCACCTCCTCCTCCTCCTCCCCCTCCTTCCTCATACTCCTTCTCCTCCTCCTCCACCTCCTCCTCCCTCCCCCTCGTCCACGTCCTCGTCCTCGTCCTCCTCATCCTCCTCCTCCTCCTCGTCGTCCTCCGCCCCTCTCCCTTTTCCTCTTTTCTCTCTACCCCTCCTCCTCCTCCTCCTCCTCCTCCTCCTCCTCCTCCCTCCTCCTCCTCCTCCTCCTCCTCCTCCTCCTCCTCCTCCTCCTCTCCTCCTCCTCCTCCTCCTCCTCCTCCTCCTCCTCCTCATCCTCCTCCTCCTCGTCTCCATGTTCCTCCTCCTCCTCCTCCTCCTCCTCCTCCTCCTCCTCCTCCTCCTCTTGCTCCTCCTTTGGCCTTCTGCCTCCTCCTCCTCCTCCTCCTCCTCCTGCCTCCTCATTTGGCCTCCTGCCTCCGCCGGGGCCTCCTGGGGCCTCTTGGGGCCTACTGGAGCCTTCTGGGCCTCCCTATGCCTGCTCTGGCCTCCTCGGGCATTCCTCCGCCTCTTCCTCCTCCCCCTCCTCCTCCTCTTCCTCCTCCTCCTCCTCCTCGTGCCCGCCGTGCTGCTGCTCCTCGAGGTCCGGGCGCACGGCGCGGCCTCCTCGGCGGAGCCCGCCGCAGGAGCCTCCTCTGCCTTCTCCTCCTCTGCCTTCTCCCCCTCTGCCTTCTCTCCCTCTGCCTTCTCCTCTTCCTCCTCCTCCTCCTCCTCCTCCTCCTCCTCCAACTCTTCCTCGTGCGGAATACGAGCTAGAGAAAACGCACGACGTGCGTCCCAGCGGCTACGCGCCGGAGGGCGACCCAGAAGAAACGTGCGAAGAGAACGACCCGGAGAAAAAACGTGATGTGCGGGCCCCATAGGGAGGGGGCTCATGCCTGACACTTCCTCGCGATTCACTCGCAACCAAGGCTCCCGCCTGATACATCCTCCATATTCAGGCCTCACGGGCCCCAAAGACCCGCTCTGATTGAAAACATGAGGTGCGGGCCCCATATGGATGAGACTTCCTCGCAATTCACTCACAGACGAGGCTCCCGCCTGATACTTCCACCATACTCAGGCCTCATGAGCCTAAACGTGACGAAAATTACAAGAGGCCGATGACCCGCTCGGATTAAACACATTAGCTATAGGCCTCATAGGGAGGGGACTCCCGCCTGAGGCTTCCTCGTCAATAACTCACAGACGAGGCTCCCGCATTATACTTCCTCCATGTTCAGGTCTCAGGAGGCCAGAAGTAAAGACAAGTATAGAATGAAGAAGGCCCGCTCTGATTAAAGACGTGAGCTGCGGGCCCCATAGGGAGGGGGCATCAGGAGCCCAAGAATGACGACAATTACAAGAAGCCGATGACCCGCTCGAATTAAAAACAACTGCTGCGGGCCCCATGGGGAGGGGCCCCCCGCCTGAGACCTCCTCGCAATTCACTCACAGCCGAAACTCCCGCCTGATACTTCCTCCATATTCAAGTCTCACGAGCCCCAAACTGACGACAATCACAAGAAGCAGATGACCCGCTCGAATAAAAGCAACAACTGCGGGCCCATGGGGAGGGGGCTCCCGTCTGAGACGTCCTCGCAATTCACTCACAGCCGAGGTTCCCGCATTATACTTCTTCCATATTCGAGTCTCAGGAGCCCCAAACTGACGACAATTACAAGAGGCCGATAACCCAAACTGACGACATTACATGTGAGCTGCGGGCCCTATAGGGAGGGGCCCCCCGCCTGAGACGTCCTCGCAATTCACTCACAGCCGAGACTCCCGCGTCATACTTCCTCCATGTTCTTCAAGCCCCAGGAGCCCAACATTGACGACAAGTACACGAGGCCGATGCCCCGCTCGGATTAAAAACCTGAGCTGCGGGCCCATAGGAAGGGGGCTCCCGCCTAAGACTTCCTCGCAATTAACTCACAGCCGAGGCTCCCGCCTCGTATATCCTCCATCTCCAGGCCTCAGGAGCCCACAAGCGACGACAGATGCAGGAGGCCGACGACCTACTCTGATTAAGAAACGTGAGCTGCGGGCCCCATGGAGGAGGGGCTCCCGCCTGAGATTTCCTCGCAATTCACTCACGGACGATGCTCCCGCCCGAGACGACACACAGGCGACCGATGATCATGATGGTGTGAATGATGATGATGATGATGGTGATGATAATGGTGATGTTGATGATGATGATGATGATGATGATGATGATGATGATGATGATGATGATGATGGTGATGATGATGATGATGATGATGATGATGATGATGATAATGATCCTGATTATGATGATGATGCTGATGATGATGATGATGATGATGATGCTGATGCTGATGCTGATGCTGCGGATGATGATGATGATGATGATGATGATGATGATGATGATGATGATGATGATGATGATGATGATTGAGATTATGATGAAGCCAGTGAGTAAGTGTGCGAAGGTATGAGAAGCGGAAGGTGTTATGATGATGATGGTGTGTGAGTGATTGAGCGAGTGAACGGGCGAAGGCAGAAGAGGAGAGGGGGTGAGGTGACAGGACTGCGAGGGGTGTCAAGAGAAAATGAATTAGAGTGGTGAAGTGAGTGTGACTGTATGTGTAAGTGATGTTGTCTTGATGCTGCGGTGGTGATGTGAGTGTGTGAGTGAAAAAGAGAGGGGGGGTGTTCCTTCCATTATGTGCCCGCGCGCGGTGTCCAGAGACAACAAGAATCCCATTTTGGATGTGGGGAAACATCGCCCCTGCACCGCACCCCCCTTCGAGGTCCCTAGAAGCCTCTCGGGGGGAGGGCACACGCCTCGCATGCGCCTCTGGAAGCCACGGGGAGCCCCGCGAGGCCCACGATCTAAAAGTACCACTTCCTGCCAGCGAAACGAGGGACCCTTACGTCGGGCATGTCCCTCTACAGGAGGGATACGCAAACATGCAAAAATGTAAAAACGATACTCTAGTTTTTGTTTGAAAGCAATATCCTGGCGACACCCTCAACCATATGCAGTTGTGAATAACGCGTTGTGGGTGCCGCTTTCGGTGGAGCTCCCTATGGGGCTACGAAACGCGTGAAGGACGTGCCGTACTGGGTGGGGGAGACGCATGCGGGCGGTGCCGCTGGGGCCTTCGGTGGGGTTCCCTGTGGGCCACGAAGAGCTGTACTGGGTGCGGCTGACGCATGCGGGCGGTGCCCCTCGCTGGAGCCCCCGATGAAGCCACGAAGCGCTGCACTGGTTGGGGGAAACGCATGCGGGCGGTGCCGCTGGGGTCTTTCCGTGTAGCTCCCTGCGGGGTCACGAAAAGCTGTATTGGGTGTTGACCGACGCATGCGGGCGGTGCCACTGGGACCTTCGGTGGAGCACCCTATTGGGCCACGGGAAGGGGGGACGCATGCGGGCGGTCTCACTGGGACCTTCGGTGGAGCTCCCTATGGGGCCAAGAAGAGCTGTACTGGGTGGGGGATCGCATGCGGGCGGGCCGCCGGAGCTCCCTACGGGGCCAGGAAACGCTGTACCGGATGGGGGGACGCACGCGGGCGGTGCCACTGGGGCTTGGGGGAGCTCCCAATCAATGGGGCCGCGAAATACAGTACTGGGTGGTGGACGACGCATGCGGGCGGTGCCACTGGGATCTTTCTCTGGAGCTCCCTACGGGGCCACGAAACGCTGTATTGGGTGGTGGCTCACGCATGCGGGCGGTCCCACTGAGACCATCCGTGGAGTTCCCCATGGGGCCACGAAGCGCTGTACTGGCGGGCGGTCCCACTGGGACCCTCCGTGGAGCTCCCTGTGGGGCCACGAAGCATTGTACTGGGTGGGTGAAACGCAGGGAGGAAGGGCTGTGCTGGGTGGTGGTTGACGCATGCGGGTGATCCCAACCTGAGACGTTCGGTGGAGCTCCTTTTGGGGCCACTTGACGCATGCGGGCGGTCCCACTGGGACCTTCGGTGGAGCTCCCTATGGGGCCACGAAGCATTGTACTGGGTGGGTGAAACGCAAGGAGGAAGGGCTGTGCTGAGTGGTGGTTGACGCATGCGGGCGGTCCCACTGGGACCTTCGGTGGAGCCCCCTATGTGACCACGAAACGCTGTACTGGGTGGGTGAAACGCAAGAAGGAAGGAGGAGGGGGAGGAGGGAGGGGGAGGAGGGAGGGGGAGGAGGGATGAAGGAGGCGGGAGAAACGCGGGGACCGTCCCTTCAAAACACCACAGGACGGTTAGGGAAACAATCATTTATCCTGGCGAAGGACCCGACCATACGCAGCTGTGAGTACCGCGTTGTGGGTACCGCTCTCGGTGGACCCCCTTATGGGGCCACGATCCTTGTGAGGGGTGTGCCGAGATGGGCGGGGGGACGCATGCAAACCCTGCTGCTGGGGCCTTCGGTGGAGCTCCCCATGGGGCCGCGATCATCCTGAGGGGTGTGCAGAAATGGGCGGGGGGACGCATGGAAACCCTGCCGCTGGGGCCTTCGGTGGAGCTCCCTATGGGGCCGCGATCCTCGTGAGGGGAGTTCCAAAATGTGCGGGGGAACGCATGCAAACCCCAAGCGCATGCAAACCCTGCCGCTGGGGCCTTCGGTGGAGCTCCCTATGTGGCCGCGATCCTCGTGAGGGGTGTGCCGAAATGGGCGGAGGGACGCATGTAAACCCTGCTGCTGGGGCCTTCAGTGGAACTCCACATGGGGCCACGATCCTCGTGAAGGCCGTGCCAAACTGGACGGGGGAACGCATTCAAACCCTGCCGCTGGGGCCTTCGGTGGAGCTCCCCATTGGGCCGCGATCCTCGTGAGGGGTGTTCCAAAATGGGCGGGGGAACGCATGCAAACCCTGCCGCCTGGGCCTTCGGTGGAGCTCCCTATGGGGCCACGAGCCGTGGGAGGGTTTGTGCCGAAATGTGCGGGGGGACGCATGCGAACCCTGCCACTGGGGCCTTCGGTGCAGCTCCCTGTGGGGCCACGAAACTGTGTCCCGGGTGGGCAAAACGTAGGGAAATGTCGAGGCGGATGGGAGGAGGGAGGAGCGGGAGGAGGAGTGGGGAGGGGAGGGGAGGGGAGGGGAGGGGAGGGGAGGGGAGGAGAGGAGAGGAGAGGAGAGGAGAGGAGAGGAGAGGAGAGAGGAGAGGAGAGGAGAGGACAGAGCGAAGACCCAACACCACAGGATGGTTGGGAAATATGTTTGGCTGTGTTTGAATATGTGTTGGGTATTCTTTCTTTGTCTTCAAACATCAGCCTGTAGGGGGACATGCCCGACCTAAATCTATCCGCCGCCATTCTCTGACGCGTGCGACGGGAACGTGCCCCCCCCCCTACCCTCCTCGTCTGGAGCAGGGACCGACCGTCCCGGCATTCCTATAGTCCTACCACGAAATGTTCTTAGAACCCAAAGCAGTTCTAAGAACAAAAGCAGTGCCCTCATAACATGAAACCGATGCGTGAAAACAAGGCAGACTCCGCCAGAAATGTCCTAAGAACATTTCGTGCAAACCTCACAAGGTTCCTAGAACATTGCTTGGTAGGACTATAGGCACGCCAGGACACTTCGCAACTGCTTGTGATCGTCCCGCCTCCCTCCGCCCCTCGCGGCCCTTGTTGAGCCCGTTGCGCAGCAGCTCCGAGGCGTAGTTCCCCCAGATCGGCGACGAGGTCTGCGCGGCCACCGCCGCGCGGAGGTCGAAGTTCTGGGGGTACGTGTTCGTCTCCGTGCGCGGGTACCTCCCCCGGCCGGTCTTGCCTCAGGTCGGGCATGTCCCCCTGTAGGCCGATCTTGGAAGAAGCATCAGGCATACTCCCAACATGCCCAACACTAGTCAAAAACAACAGTAACATTGTCCCCATGCCATTTTTTCGATTTCTGCATATCCCTCACGGAGATTGGGGGCGCGCAAACATGGATTAACGATCCATGGATTTGGCGCGCCTTCGCCAGATCCATGCATCGGGAGAAGTGCCCTCCCCAAAATGCGGCCGGTGCCGCCTCGCTCGGCGGCGGAAGTCCGTGATTTCCAGTGGAAAACGGAACCCCGTCGCGAATCCACGCCCCCTTGATCCATGTTTGCGATCGCCCGACTCAAGTCCTGCCTCCCGTGGTCCCCTCCCATCGGGCCCCAGAGCCATCAGAACAGGGCCCCCCGGGGAAGGGATCGAGAGAGGCCCCAGGGCTCGAGGCGCGCAGAGAAGAAAACGCGACGTCGGATGTCCATGGCTCCTCGTCTTCGTCGCCGTCGGGGCTCATAGAGATTCGACGACGGAGGACGACGACGACGATCAGGGTGGGGAGACGGGGAGGAGTTCGAGCAGTACGAGGACGTGTGGGCATTCGAATGCGTGCGGGGCTACGCCCGAGTCATGCTCGCCGTTTGGGCTGGCGGTGGGGCCCAAGCGGCGAGCTGTGTTGTGATTCGGGACCTTCCTGGGCCTTCGGGCCCCCCCTCACCGCCACGGCTGGGCTCGCCTCGAGATCCTGGCAGGCCCGGCCTGGATAGAAGCACGGAGCCCGATAGGAGTGGGTCGTGGCCAACGAGTCGTCCCGAATCGAATCGAATCGAAATCGGATCGCCGTGCCTGGCTCCGGCTGGCCCCGACCGATGCATGCCGGTGAACCGAACCGAACCGAATCGGGATCACCGCCTCTGCTGGCGAATGGAACCGCATCCAGTAGGATCGCAGGCGGCCCTGACAGACTCGCGGCCCCCACGGTACGTCAACCAGCCCCCCAGATAGAGGCTCTCGGCCTTCCGCATGGCTTCCTGGCACGGGGGAGGAGGGGCGCGACTAATGGAGGGCACGTGGTACGCAGGAGGGGGAAGAGCACGGAGTATGAAAGACGAGGTGGCGGAGGAAATGAGGGGGAGGAGGAGGAGGAGGAGGAGGAGGAGGAGGAGGAGGAGGAGGAGGAGGAGGAGGAGGGAGGATGGGGTAAGGAAGAGGATGAGGAGTGGAGCGTCTTGCACCTTGTACACTTTGAGGGCCACAGTATGCCGGTCGAGGAGGACTGGAAGCGAGCAAGACAGCGCGACAGCCACGGGCTGGCACGCCCGACGTGGGCTCATTCATACATCAGGGCTGGACCTAAACGTTGTTTTTCGTTTTGTGTGCGTTTTGTTTTCGTTTTGCTCCACCTGTGTTCCTGCACTTCCCTGCCAAAACGAAACAAACTAAACACCGTTTAGGTCCAGCCCTGTAATACAGGGGCACGCTGCCCAAAAGTAAATGTGCTGCACGAGCCCAGCAGCGGCCACTGTCCAGCAGCAAGTCTGCCGCCCAAGCCCTGGTGTGCTGCTTGAGAGCAAAACTGCGCTGCCAAGCCTAGCCAGTTGGGCAGGCAACCTTCTGTTTCAAACCGACACCGTCCGCGGCGCAATCGGCAGCAGCTCCTGCCCAAAATGGACAGGACTTGCTGTCGGTCTTCGTCGCCCTTTTTTCCGCGTCCATTCCGATCCTCCAGAGCAGGCGCTGAAGCTGCGCAGCGCCCTGCGAGGACTTCGCCCAGGCCTCCCCCGAACTGCGCGCCGGACCGCGTCGGGGCAGGGGCCATCGCCCCCCCGCAAGCGTCGCCGAAATCTTTGAACGGCACGACAAGCTCCGCTCCGCGGCGACTCGACCGCGCGCAGCGCCACCACGACGGCCCCTGGAACGCGCCGCCCCGCGCAACTCGCCGAAGAGCTCCGAAGAGCACATTCACATCCGCCTTGCGGCGAGCGTCGCTCCAGCGCGCAGCGCCGCCGCGACGGCCCCTGGAACGCGCCGCCACCCGCAACTCGTCGACGAGCTCTGAAGACCACCTGCGGCTCCGCCCCGCGGCGAGCCCCGCCCCAGCGCGACGGCCCCTGGAACGCGCCGCCCCGCGCACCTCGCCGAAGAGCTCTGAAGAATACCTCCGCCTCCTCCCCGCGGCGAGTCCCGCTCCAGCGCACAGCATCGCCGCGACGGCCCCTGGAATGCGCCGCCACGCGCAACCCGCCGACGAGCTCTGAAGACCACCTGCGGCTCCGCCCCGCGGCGAGCCCCGCCCCAGCGCGCAGCGCCGGCCGCTACGACGGCCCCTGGAACGCGCCGCCCCGCGAACCTCGCCGACGAGCTCTGCAGAGCATCTCCAGCTCCGCCCCGCGGCGAGCCCCGCCCCAGCGCGCAGCGCCGCCACGCAGGCCCCTGGAACGCACCGGCCGCGCACGTCGCCGAAGAGCTCTGGAGAGCACCTCCGACTCCGCTCCGCGGCGAGCCCCGCCTCGACGCGTGGGCCGCCAAGGCAGCCGCTGAACCACGCCGAGGGGAAACGCGCAGATAGCCCTGGTGGGCCCGAGGGAGACTCTGCAGAACGCAGGGGGTGCGCAGCAGCTGTGATGGGCCTTCGAAGATCTTGCAGGGCGCTTCAACATTGAGGAGGTAACTGTTGGGAGGTCGTCGCAAAACATTGGCGGATCAGCCAAATGAAACAGCCAGTCAGCAAGCTAGATCAGCCCAGAGTAAGCCCCAAATCCTGCCGGACTGCCCAGGTTGAGGGGCATTCCAAAAGGCAGTGTCGGCTTAGGCTGGTCTTCGACCACGGACACGCCAACGCCGATGCCAAAGTTCACCTCCCAACAACGTGGCTCAGAAGGGCCCAAAGAGAGGCCCGGCAGGCTCCAGCATGAGCGCCAGATACCCCGCAACCTGTCCCACCAAAAGGCCCCTTCCCCTCATCCGACCTGTAACAAGACAACATCCTCTAATCCTCCTCCACGTCCTCCTCCACGTCCTCCTGCTCCTCCCTCCTACTTCCATTCCCCCTTCCCCTCCTGGTGGGTGGGTGGGGCGGGGGAGAGGCGTCGCTGGACCTTCTGAGCAAACGGGGGCAATTCCCCTCCAGCGCCGCGCCTGGAGTGTGCATGGGGTGCTTCCTGCACAGGAGGCCGTAAAGCCAGATCCTGAGCATGACGGCCCAAGACAAACCCGCCTGGCGAATGCACTGGGCTGACGGGGGACACGGGCAACCAAATGCCCACCAAATAAGACGATGCCGCTGCTCTGGCTGCACGAGCATCCCCGCGCGGAGATGAGCCAGCCTGAGCCAAATGTTCTTGACCCACAGTGGCGGCGGATTCGGAGACACGGCAGGAGGTGGAGGAAGAGGAGGGGGCGGGGAGGGAGGAAGTAGAATGGGGAGGGACCGGAGAGGGGAGGGAGGGGTGGGGAGGGACGACGAGGAGAACGAGGATGGGCCGTGAACGAAGGAGGAGGAGGAGGACGCAGGAGGACGCAGGAGGAGGAGGAGGAGGAGCAGGAGGACGTGAGCCACCCAGCAGTTCACGCAGCGGGTCTGCTCCGCCGTGCTCCACAACGCAGAGCTGCTTGCCTCCTGCGCAGCCGGATGGCCATGCGTCGACTCAACGAGGCCACGTACGTGTCAACCAGGATCAGATTCGTATTCCAAGCGGGGATCTCATTGGGCGTAGGTGGGCACGTCAGAGCATTTCACGAAAAGCGTTGGTTCATCAGGGTCGCAGCAACGGTCCGACACGGGCCTACCCGGACCTCCTTCCACGGAAGTCAGTCGGCCGCACTGCTTGCCTTGGTGCGCGTGCCGTCACCGGGGCCACGTGGCTGGATCACGCAGACACGCTAATGCAGAGCCATGGTGCCAAACCATTCTGAGAGTCCTACCATCTGGGGAGCATCACCCCCTCCGACCGAGGCATGTGCAAGAAGGCGGTAGCGAAACGGAAGCACTCAGAGGTGTACATGCGACCCGCCGCAATGCGGAGCGATGGTTCTATGAGCAGGTGGCCAACGGGCCCGCGAGGGGATACTCCCTCTACGCGGAAATCTTTCAGCCCTCTCCTCCCGCTGCCGTTGCAGTGGGCGTCGGGGAGCAAACGTCCATGGCGCTTCCCCGATGCGTGGCTGGCTGTGCGCAGCGGCGGGCAGATGCCCATCAACAGTTGGTCGCGGGGCGGGCCGCTACAGGGCGCTGAGAGCTGCCCGCTCTGCAGGGGCCGGGCGGGATCGTGGAAGCACGCGCTGGCGATGTGCGCTGGGACCCCGGAGCGGAGGCAGGGCCTCCCTGCAGAGGCGCGACGCGGGGTGGTGCACAGGGCAGTGATGGGCGCCCGGCCCCTCGAGGGCGCCCACAGAGCGAGCGAGACAGTTCGGTCCCTGTGTCGGGGCCTTCGTGACGACCATGCTGGCACAGGGCGGCGTGGGAGTCCCATCCAGGCTGGAGGAGGAGGCGCAGCAGGAAGAGGCGGCGGAGGAGGAGACGGTGACGGGCTGAGGAGGGAGCGAGTGCGTACAGCATTTAGGTCTCCGTCCTTGCCTCCCCCATCCTCCCCCCCCTCTGCTTCCCCTCCCCCGCTCAATACATGCTGGCTCCCAACCGTGCCTTTCGCCAAGAACCGAGGCCTGCGCTGTCGGCTCAGTGCGTGCAGGCAGAGCTGGCGCTGGCGGTCGCAGCTGGCGCTGGCGTGGCACAGCGGTTTGCGAGGGGTCAAGCTGGAGTTGGCCGTTCTGCCTACGACATTGAAGGAACACGCGCGTGCGACAGGCACGCTGTCTTGACGGCTCCTCCAGCGCCCCAGCGGGCCCCAGCGGGCCTCTGGGGCGGCCGCGGGCCCCTTCAAGCCGTCCCAGGGCGCCCCAAGACGCCCAAGGAGAGCCCCAAGAGCGCTTGAAGACGCTCCCAGACGCTCCCCAGGCTGGCTCCCAGACGCTCAAGATAGCTACACGACGGTCCAAGAGGCCCCAAAGACACTCCAGGAGCGCGCCACGAGGACCCACAAAGGCCCCAAGAAGCAAACATCGCAACACAACCGTTTTTAGAAGACTGACAACTTCAGCATTCCCCATGTCTTCCTCTCAACAGCATCCGAGACGGCGCTGACGGTCATCAGTATTGCTCCAAGACGGCCCACGAGTCCACCGAGAGAGCCCCAAGACAGCCTCAGACGGCCCCCGGACGGCCGAAGAGGCGCCCAGGACGGCCCCGGAGGACCCCAGAAAAGCCCGGAGAGAGGCCCAACACGGCCCAAGATGGTCCCAAGACGGCCCGAGAGGCGCACAAAGCGGCCCAACCAAGAGGAGCCCAGGCGGCCCGAGGGGGCCCCAACGGGCCCCGAAGAGGACCCAAAGAGGGCCGTTCGAGGATCTAAGAAGCCCCCAAGCGGCCCCCGAGGAGTCAGAACCGCCTCCGAGAGAGGGGGCCCGGCGCTCCTGACACGCCCCAGAGAGCTTCGCCTTCTGGCAAACATCCCACAAAACGGCCCACCACAACCCAGTTACCAGGAGAGACACATGTACCATTACCACCAGCTGGGGGGGTGGCCGCTCCCTCCCCTCCAACTCGTTGCACCTCCTTCTGGGGACTAACGAGGTGCCACCGGCTCGAGACTCGAGAGGGTAGGACAGCCAACCCCCTAGCTGGTGGGAAGGGTACTTATGAGGAAATCAAACGGTACCGATACCGCTACTCCCGGGGCCTCTCCCAGGGTGCGTTCTGACCAGAATTTCGAGGCGAATCCAGCGGTGGCGACGAGTGCCTCCCAGGAAGCCCCAAAAAGGGGAAAACGGGCTGAGGGTAGAGGTATGGGTATCTTTTCCTCCTCTGAACCTTTGTCTCTGGTGAAATGAGGTGCCTTGATTCCTTCTTCAGAATGACGCCGTCCTGGGGCCTTCCCGGGAGCCCCCGCGAGCGCCTCGCGGGCCTCCCCGGGCGATGCCGGAACCCCTCTCTGCGAGCCACTCGGCCCCCCGATCAGGAGCTCCCCAATTCCGGCCTCCATACCACCTGCCCGTGCTGCTTTTGCAGTGCGTTTAGGGCGGGTGGCGCTGCAAAAGGCGGAGTCGTCGGCGTGGTCATTGCACCAGCCTTGCAGACGTGTTGCAGTGGATTTCTGCGTGGATTTCTGCGTGGATTTCTGCCCGAAGCGGCGAGCGAAAAACGAAGTGAATTTCGCGTGGCCTCTTTTTGGTCTCCATTCCTGGCCAACAGAAAAATCCGACCGACATTCACCTCGAAATCCGGAACGAAATGCTCCAGGACAGCCCTCGGGCCCACCCTGGCGTTCTCCGAGCGAGCTCCGCTCTGCGATGTCGGCGCCAGGCGAGTGGGCCTCGGGCTCCACCGCAGGGGGGAAACCACACTCCCTCTCGCCCGGTCTGCCGCTGGCCCCGGCGAGCCGGCCGCTCCCATGGAGTCTGGCTCGGGAGGCAGCTGCTGGGAGGTCTTCGTCGGAAAAGTTCCTGAGGATTCTGGGGGGAAAGCAAACCCACCTCGCTTTTGACCACCCTCGCTTCCAGGAGATACCAAGCGATGCCAAACTACGGCCTGTACTGGTCAGGCCGCTTGACGAGGAGGCGCGTGGTATGACTTGGTTTTTCCTGGAAGCGAAAGCGGGGTAGGTAATTCACGCTCTGAGATTCAGCCCCATCGGGAAGAAGCTGTTACGCCAGCCTAGGTCGCGGATCAAGCGGGATTAAGCCGGATTGAACAGGATGAAGCGGGAGTGACCAGGATTAAGCGGGATTAGCCCGGATTTCGAACCAGGGCAAAGTCAGAATTTGACCTCCCAGGAGTTGCATCCGAATCTAGTGAACTGTCATGCCCTTTCGGAGCCCCCTTGGGCTCCCCTGGGAGCGCGCCGCGAGCTCCCTGGAGATCCCGGAACCTTTCTACAAGCCCCTCGGCCGCCCAATCGGGAGCCTCCGAGGCGCCGCAGGGGGCCTCCATGAGCACAAATCTGACAGGACGGCACGTCCGACCCGACATCAGCAGCACCCTGCAGCTAAGAGCAGCAACAGCACGCAGCAGCTATTGGTAGACATTGCGAGCGGCACGCAGCAGCGGCAGCAGGCAGCAGGCAGCAGGCAGCAGTAGCATTAGCGGAACGCAAAGCTAGAGCATCACGTCATCATGCCAGCCGTTCAGCAGCATACCGACCAAAACATGCCAACTCGTGAAGATTTTGTGGACGTAATCCACGGGTCAGCCCTGGTCAGCCGTAACGCTGGTATCAGCGCGTGCGCCAAGGGCGTGCAGTGGCAGCGGGATCGAGCGCTGCCGAGCGAGAGGCGCGAGCCGAATGTGGAGTCCAACGTTACCAGGGACAACGCTGGGATCAACACGTGCGGGAACAACGGACCGTGGCAATGGGCTCTGCCGCTGTTCGAACCGATACGGGAGACTAGTCCGGATCGTCAGCTACACGCTACACCGCTGGAGCCGAGGCGTGCGAGAAGTGCGAGCAGTGACCACGGGCTTTGGAGCTGATGGGTGAGATGTGAGAGGCGAATCTTGAGACCAACGCCATCAGCTGCGGAGCTTGGGTCAGCGCGTGCGGGAAGGACGGGCAGTGGCTGAAATGGATGCGGGAGGCTAAATTGGAGCCCATCGCCATCAGCTGCAGCGCTGGGATCGGCGCGAGCAGCAAGGACGAGCAGTGGCAGCAGGCCCCTGCGCTGCTGAGCGAGGCGTGGGAGGCGAATATGGGGCCCAGCGTGCTTAGACGCAACGCTGGGACCAGCGCGTGCGAGAAGGGCGGGCAGTAGCAGCAGGCCTTGGCGCTGATGGGCGAGATGTGGGAGGCGAGTCTGGAATCCAACGTCACCACTTGCACCGCTGGGATCAACGCATGCGGGAAGGACGGGCGCTGGCTCAAGGAGATGTGGGAGGTGAATCTGGAACCCAAAGTCATCAACTACAGAGCCGGGATCAGCGCGTGCATAAAGGGCGATTGCTGGCAACGGACCCTAGTGTTGCCGAGACAGGCGCGAAAAACGAATCTGGAGCCCAATGTAATCAGCCGAACGAAATGCGGGGTCGACCCCAGAGACCGACGTGATCAGCTACTGCGCCAGCATTAGCGTGTGCGGGAATGGCGGTCAGTGGCGGCCTGGTGCTGCTCAGCGAGATGCGGAAGCGGCTTCGGAGCCCGACGTCATCCAGCTCAATGCTGCAACCAGCGCGTGCGAGAAACACGGCACAACCGATGCTGAATCCGATAACTGTCATGTAAGATGTGGGGAGTCGGGGGAGTCCAACGACATCAGCTGCTGCCGTGAGGCCAGCGTAGGTGTTGAGGCCAAGCAGTGGCAGGGCAGCGGCAGAGCAGCCAATGGGGCACCGACCCGCACTGCGATCCCGAAGCCGACGGGGCGCGAGCGCCGCGGGCACACGGCCGCAGTGGGCCCGCGCCCCGGTGTCCAGGGCTGCGGCACCGCCTCGAACGAAGCGGAGCGAAACAAACTGGGGGCGGTGGTGTGGCAGGGAGCGGTGAGGACGGTGCAGAGAATAAGAGGAGGCGGAAGGACGAGCAGGAGGACGGGGAGAAGCACGACGAGGGGAGGAGAAAGAGGAGGAGGACGAGGAGAAGGAGGAGGAGGAGGACGACGACGACGAGGCAAAGGATGACGCGGCGACGGTGACGACAAGTCCTGCGGGCCCATGCCCAGGCGGGTGCTGGCCATCTTCAGCATGGCCACGGTGTTCAGGGCCTGTGGCCTGGGCTGCCTGTCCTCCTTCTGGGTGATGTCGGTGACCTCAGCAAGGAGGGGGGAGCTCCCCATCGTTGCTGTCATCCTTCCCTCAACATCGTCCTCCTCCCCCCCCCGCCTCCCGCCTCCTCCTCCTCATCCGCCAAACCCCCCTCCTCCTCTTCATACCCGCCACTTCCTCCTCCTTCTCCTCCTTCTCCTCCTCCTTCTCCTCCTCCACCTCCTCCTCTTCCCCCTCCTCCTCCTTCCTCGTCCTCCTCGGCATCATACCCATCCCTGTCCTCTCTCCTCCCCTCCTCATGCCCATCATCCTCCCTCTTTCCACACACCTGCGCCTTTCCCTTCCCCTGGTCCCTCCCTCACTCTCTCTCTCTCTCTATCTCTTCTGCTGCTTCTGCTCCTCGTGTTTCCCCACCTGCTTCTGGTCCTGCTTCTCTTTGTCCTCACAAGCTACCAGAACCTTCCCCAATTCGTCGTGGTCGTCCTATTCCTCCATGTTCTCGAGCTTTTCCGCTACGTAGGTCCCTTCCTTCTTCTGCTCCTCATTCGTGTCCTTCCACTCCTCCTCCTCCTCCTCCTCCTCCTCCTTCTTCTCTTCTGTATGCCCAGCCGCTCCCCAACCCAAACCAAACCCTCGCACCCCAAACTGTCCTCTCCCTCCCGCTTCGGCATCCTCTCGCGATTCTCCTCCTCCTCCTCATCATCCCCCCTCCTCCGCCTCCTCCCTCTTCTTGCCCTCCTCATCCTCTCGCTCCTCCCCCTCTGGCCGAGGTCGGTTACCTTGGCGGGAGCTCCGTTCTCGAGCACCAGGTCTCGAAAAGTGGTGGCAATGGGGAGGTCGAAGACCTGACCACGCTGCCACTCCAAATAAAGGTCCCGTCCTCCTTTGGTGATCTCCACGTCCACGGTGTAGAAACTCTCCGGCTGGAAGCCGGTGATCTCGTCGTGCCTCTTGACGCAAAACCACAGAGTCGGTGTCTGGCAGGGCCCGTAAGAGATCAGGTTGGTGTCCAAATCTCCGTACTTTCCCTGAAAATACTTCGTCTGGAACCGCGTGAACGAGCACCCCAGCTTCAAGTCTATCTCTTGGCGCGCGTCCACAGAGCGGGCCTGATTCTCGTCGGGCGAACCGAGAGTATCCATCGCCTTCTTGAGATCCACCGGAGCAAGCGATGAGAACTTCGCTCTCCACACCTGCTGCCCTCCACCGATGGACGACAGATTCGGAACTACGTTTTCCATCACTTCAAAGCAGATGTTCTCGCCCTCGCGGTCGCAATCCAGCCACAGGACGAGGTAATGGCACCCCTTGGCCTCTTTCTGGAAGTGCGCCGGCATCCGCAACTTTGGATTGGCCTCTTGCTTGATCGTCCGCGCACCAAAGAGAGTGAGAGGGTCGACCCTATCCCAGATGTTGAACTCTGCGGGGAAGTCTATGTTGTACACATGGCCGGCGCAACTAGTAACTTTAAACCAAGCCTTCTGACCGTAGAAGTCACCCTGGTGGAGGCCTCCTACGTACACATGGCTGAAGCGGCAAAAACGTGATCCCTGGACTGCACCTCACCGACACTGCACCGGCTGATGCTTGGTGACGCGTGGCTGGAGCGAGCCGCTTTCACAGTCGGAGCTGCATCTCCGACGCATCGGCGGCTCGTCGGCGCGCTGCGGTGCGACCTGGAGACCCCCCCCCGCCGCAGCCGCATTTAGGAGGCCTGGGCCTCGTACTCCCACACGGCGCAGGCCGGGGAAATGCCCTGCCTCCTGTTCGGCTTCCCTCCTCTACACAGCGCATGCGACACGGTCTCGGCGATGGAGGGCTTCTCAGCGACCATCAGCACCGAGACCACCATTGGTCCCGCTCCACCTACCTGCGCGCATGCGCGTGGCAGCTGCGAGCAGGTGCGCGACGGGGCGGCGCAAGCTAGCAACACACCACCTTGAGCCAAATTGGCTCAGAGATATGCCCATGAGGTGACAAGTGACTAGAACAAGAAAAGAGAGCAGGACCTCCGCGCGGACTTTTGAATCTGCGCTGAAACCCGCTCCCGCTCTGGAGCGCGGAGCGCGCCAGGGGCGGCGCCGAAGACGCTGATGGGGGGGCCAGCGCCGATCCGAGAAATCCGAGCTGAGCTCCGAAAGCTTACGTGTATGCACAGGTGTGTCTTCTTCGGAGCACGGGCGGGCCCGTCAGTGTCGGAGGTCCCAGACATCGTGCACTGACGGACCGCGCGGCGACCTCGACATCCCAAAAGACCTCTCTGCCGCAGGGCCTTGGGACTTCGGAGACCGAGACGTCCTCGGAGTCGCATTCAAAGGGACCCCTGACCCTTTGGGGAGAGAACCTGAGTCGGGAGGGCCGGAAACATTAGGCATAGGGGGGTCTTTTCTGCAAATTTACCGAGACAAAGCGCCCGAATCGATTTTCCCCAGTGCAGACAGACGGGGGCCTCGGTGAAGCCACGCTTTCACCGTGTTATTAGGGTCAGGGGTTCTTTCTGTATTTTGGATGCGAGAGCGACCCGAGTCCCAAAACCGTTCGGTGACCCCGAATCCCCACTGGGACACCACTAGAGGCCTCCTAGATGGGGTCGGAGGTAGATGGGGTCGGAGGATCGCGCCGCGCCGCCGAAGCATCGGCGATGCATCGGCGATGCATCGGCAATGCATCGGCGAAGTCAGCGATGCGTGGGCGACGCCGGCGCGGGGAAACACAGGCTCCACATCGAGCCGCATCGTCAATGCATCGGCGATGCGACGCGATCCTCCGACCCCATCTAGTCGGACCCCATCCAAGATTAAGTCTGGCATATCCCCCTACAGGCGGACTATGGACAAACAATCAAACATTGTCGAAGGATGCCCAACCATACGCAAACAGAGTCAAAACATCGTATCAAGATGTTTTGACTATTTTTGAATATTCCTCCTGTAGAGGGACGTGCCCGATTTAAATCCAAGAGGCCCAGTTGCTGTTCTCGAGGATAGAGCGAGCCGAGTTCCCGAGCCGCGTGCGGCGACCCCGATATCCCATTTGGCTCACCGCGCGGCGCGGTCGCTTCTCACGCGAGCGTTTACTTATATTCGGCGTTTCGACATTTGGCTTAGGTCGGGCCTGTCCCCCTACAGGGTGATTTAGGGCGAAAAATCAAATACATACCCCCACAAATGCTAAAACAAACCAGAAAAATGCTCAAACATCGTCCCCTGACTATGTTCTGACTATGTTTGCAATACTCCTGCTTTCGAGGGACAGGCCCGACTTCACATTGGGCGGAAAAAACGGGGGTCTGGCCCCGCACCTCTGCTTGCTGCGGCTGTCTGGACCCCTGCGTCCCGTGGGGGCGACGCCGCCTGCTCGAACAGGGCGCCAGAGACAGCCGAGGTCTGCTCCACGGGAGGGGGGGAGGGGGGGGAGGGGCAACGATAGGGGGGGACTGGCATTTGGGGGGATGCATCGACCTGGAATCGGCGATAAATCGCTGGTCGATCGGCGACAGGCCTCCGATCGTGAATCCGCACATTCCTGGGCAGGCTGGGACCATCGGGCCCCTATCGGCGATCAGTGGGCGAGCGGGGGTCGATACATCCCTCCCTAAGAATGCCTATCCCCCCTATCGTTGCCCCTCGGGGGGGGAGTGCGAGGGCCCGCGCCGATAGAGTCCGCGCCGATCGGCAAAACGATGACTCAGAAAACGAGCACGCTGCAGTCGGACTTCATTGGACAGGACACGCGAGAGGACAAAAGACCCTCTCCGAGGGGCACGCTGCGCTAGGAATGCAGGAGGCATGGGTCGCGAGACACAGGACACAAGGGTACCTTTGACCTGGCGGGGTCGACCTACTATCGGCGGAGGACAAAGCTCCCTTTAGTAAACCTCCCCTTAATGAAAACGGCCTGGGGCCGAAACCGACGGACCTGGACCCGCAAAAATGACGGCCGCGACGCCCTCTCGCGAACCGAAAACGGCCAATTCCGTAATCGACGTGTCAGTTTAGGAGGTCTATCCACCTCCGATACTGCTCCGGGCCGACTGTACACACACCGCTCCGGGGGCCCCCGGCCCTGTTGCCTCGGGGGGAGGGGGGGAGGGAGGGAGGGAGGGAGGGAGGGAGGGAGGAAGGGAGGAGGAGGAGGAGGAGGAGGAGGAGGAAGAGGAAGAGGAGGAGGAGGAGGAGGAGGAGGAGGAGGAGGAGGAGGAGGAGGAGGAGGAGGAGGAGGGGGACGAAGCTCCGACGGACCTAGCCTCACTCTCACCAACGATAGCAGCAGACTCGCCCATACCGACGGAGCAGCCCACGCCGAGGCCCAGCATTTTCCCACCCGTCACGCCCTTCACGCCAAACAAGAGCTCGCAACAGCAGCTACAGCCAGCCAAAACACCCATGACGACCCTGTTCATCGACCTCAGCCGCGACGAAGAAGCCTGTCCCAACACTCCTCCACGCCTGCCGATCGAGGACATCACGCCCACAGTGCCACACGAGCCACGGCTGCCACCTCCGCGCTTCCACATGGGCACACCAGAGAGGACGAGCTCAGCACCACCTCGCAGAGGCAATCTGAAGCAACCAAGAGAGCCCAGGAAAGCAAGGAGCCAGCCTAAAAAGTCAGGATCTGCGACGCGGACGACGGCTTCGCGGACCCATGTGACAGAGTGGCATCCTTCATCGAGAGCGGCGAGAGCGACCTCGACGGGGGTCGATGGTCAAAAACTGCGTGGGAGCACGCAGGCTGGGGGGCAACTGGCCCAGACCTGCGTCCAGTCAACCACACCAGAAGACCACGGGGATAGGAGGCCCAGACTCAGAGACCCGTGCGCTGACGAGCCTACGCCCAGCCCCTCCCACACGCGGCCCCTGGCTGGCCGCGCACAATCGCACTTAGCCTCCATCACACTACACAGTTACGCCCAAGCCGATGCGAGCCTTGGGGATGCCGCATCCGCTTCAGACCACCAGCGCTCCACTAGGGAGCCCCGACCCAAAAGACGCAGCAGACGAACCATCTGCACTACCAGCTCTCTAGACGCCGCAACTTTGGGCAAGGGTGGGGACCGCCCACAGGAGGGCGACGCCAAGCAGGAGCGATCCAAGCGTGGACCTGAGCGACTCCCTCAGGCCGCGACGCGTGGTCTACCTGGGGGCTCCCAGGCTGACAGGGCACACTCTGACAACCAGCACAACGGCGGGGCGAGGCTGCAACAAGAGTGGGAGAGCTACTCGGGCAGCCAGCCACAGTACCAGCAGCATGGACAAAGGCGACGCCCCTCGGCCATGCCAGTGCCAACATCCTACTCCGCGGGAGTTGCGGCGGCCCGTGCGGCGCCGCAACCCAGGCTGCGCAGCCACGCGAAGGAGGACCCAGGCAGCAGGTCGAGACTACCAGAGACACCACCTCTGGAGGTCTCCCAGCGCCGGGCCCTCTCTGAGCACCCGACACTTGCAGCCGACGGAGCCTGGCCCTCGCGCCAACCTCCCACTGCCAGCCACTTTGGCCCGCAGGAGGACTGCAAGACAAGCAGAAAGACCCCAAGGGGGCTGGCTAGTCCACCTGTGACAGCCAAATTCAATGCACATACGACGGCACAACGAAGCACCGTTTGCGAACGACAGCTTCAGCATGGACCAATCCGAGCCGACGAGCTTGAGCAGATCCAAGACACATACCTTGATAGCAACGACAGAAGCCCAGCACCAACATAATCGCACCTCAACGACGCCACAGCGGTAGCAGCAGCAAGGAGAGCGGCGAAGCGCAGAAGGTTACGCAGACAGCTACCCAGGGTGGAGACTATTTCAGGCCGCGGTGCGATCTCGACAAAGAACTCTTTCGATGCACTTGCCGACAACATCAGCAGCGACGATGACGTACTGCCAGATAGTACTCAGCCTTGCGAATCTGCACAACCAGCGGAGCACGACTGCGACACGCTTGGTCACCGTGCCATCGCACCGAGCAACAACACTGACCGCCCGCCAGCGGCCCCGACTACCCCCCAGGCCATGGGCGGCACTATCGGGCGCCCGAGTCGGGACCACAGCGGCAGCCGTACGAGTACCCGTACTACTTGGAGACCAACGCCTCGGCTCTCAGCAGCAGAGCATACTCAATACGCAGTCGAGCCCAAACAGCACAACGCATCGACCAGGACCTGTCTACGTTGGCGCGTCAGCGCGGGGTCGCCTCACACTGCAAGGCCGCAGACGGGCGGACCTGCCCTCCCCGAAAAGCTGCGGGTTGACTCCCCCTTGCAGGTGCGAAGGCGCGAGGGCATGCCTCCGACGGGAGGGTGGTCGAAGCCTTGCTCTCGCGCCAGCGATGTCGTGCTGTGGTGCGCAACCAGGTCCAGCGAGCACCGAGCAGCGCCAACTCCACCACCGGCTCCAGTCATGTCCCCCACACACAGCCCACCGCGAGCAGCTAAGCGCAGGCAAGGGCTACCCGAGATAGCAGCTGGCACGAATCCCCTGACGGCAAACCTCATCGTCTACGCGACAGCATGCCCCATGCCCAATCACACGAGCCCCTGTTCAGTCTGGCCGTGCGGGCTGGATCGGACAACTTGAACGCCGATGAGGTGTGCTGCCAAACATCACCGACTCCTCGGGGGAGGAGCGCGACGCGGGCGGGCCCCGCACCCTGTATTCCAGCCGACCACGTGGAGCCCGAGCAGCCACTTCCAGCTTGCACTACACACCCCAGACAACATCAGCAGCCCCAGAAAGACGTACAACCTCGACGCGCAATGCTGCCCTTTAAGTGCTACCACGGCACTCGCGGCCACCCGACTGGACTGCACCAGTCCACCCCCGCACCACACTGTCGAACAAC